ACGACCCGTTTGTGTGTATAATATATATATATATATATATATATATATATATATATATTTAACTTATAAGATTAGTGTACATTCACCATTGAGTGTAACATCCAGTTTTAGACCGATCTCTCACCAATCCAATTATATTTTAATATTTTTATTTTTAAATTCATTTTGTATCTACGTTATATATATTTCTCTCGTCTTAGATTCTAAAATCAATATATTTTCTGGTAGTGGAATTTAACGTGAAATCACAAACTAAACTCCAAACAAAGTAATTAGTTAAATATTTCGATGGCCCAAAATATTTAAATGATTATTTGGAATAACTTATTTGCCCCTATAACTTACATATTACACATGGAAAATGTTTTTACACAATCAAGTTGATCGTAAATTTGCAACTAGATGAATCAACAGAAAAGTTGCAAAAAAAAAATTGTTATAATGGAAACTATATATTGTTTATGCTTTTGTGGATAATTACAGTTACATAAAAAATGCAAAGAAAATGTTCATAGGTAATGTATGGAACCGAATCACATGACATGCTTGCGATAATCACGTGAACTCCACGGTGTCTGTCGGATAACGCGCTTGTCTACGTGTTTATGATGACGTGGCAGTACAGAAACTAGCCATAGAAGCAAATATGCATGTTTCTCTTGTTCGTATCTAATTAGCCAGCTAGAAATCGATCATGATTGGAGAAAACAAACAAAATATAGGATTTGTAATTTTCTGTTTTTTAGTTATTGATTTGTAATTTTGTGAATGAATATTATGTCATTTTCTTTCCATGAAAAAGGACAACTTCTCCTTTGGAAAATTGCTTAAAAGGGATTTTTTTTGGAATGTTTTGTCCAAAGAAATTGATTTCAATATGATGTACAAAATCTATAGAAAAATACTAAATAAATATATGAAAGTATTCAATATATTACGATCAAATAGAAGAAAATCTCAGAGATAAAAATATTTGCTTTTCTCTGTATTTTTATATTTTTTACGTATTATATTAATAAAATAGAAATAAATTTATATTATATATGAGATTTCAGATAAGAGGATAATATCAAAACTATCTGTACTCTATTAAATATACTTAATATCATTTTTTTTAATCTAGTATTATGTGAATAGTATAATCAATATATGATGACCATATGTATAACCAATGTAACTATTGTGATAATTATATAATTTTAATATATATAAGAAAAATCGTATATAAATACTTAATTTTTTACAAAAATTCCAAATAAATATCCAAACTATAAAATTTCTATATAAATACCTGAACTTTTCTAAAATTCTACATAAATATCTAGATTTTTTAAAAATTCCCAAATAAATCTAAAATACGTTAATAACATCATATTATTTTTAAAAAAAAATATCTGAAATTTGTATTTATTTGAAAAAATTTTCAAAAATCTAGATATTTGTATAGGATTTTTAAATTTTTGAGTATTTGTATGAGAGTTTTATAGTTTAGATATTTATGTGAGATTTTTATAAAAGTCTAGATATTTATATTTATATGTTATTTTTCAAATAAAGATTTTTTTATAATATTTTATATTAAAATAACAATAGTCGAAGTGGTCACAGCACCATATATTACCATATAAAATTAAAAATAATTTGTATATCTTTTAATCTCTTGATCGGTTGAATAAATTTCATTTCCGTAATCATATACACAGAACGATGTTTTATAACAAAACTCATTCAAATAGGTTCATGAAGCAGTGTCGACTGATATATCTAACAGCTCTGCTTGAAGAACCAAAGAAATGGAAGTGCATTGAGCCATACACAATCTCCCTTCGCAATCCGCTTCCCGAGGCAGAAGGTTTCACCACTCCTTGTCCAAGATTTGCAAGGTTGGGTTTCATCTCTTGCTTCTGGGAATTTCTTCATCAACTTTTGCAGATCATATAGTTCGAGAGGCCAAGATCTCTCAGGAAATCCAGTTTTTGATATATTAAAGCCTCCACCTTTGGAAGTCTCTTTCCTGGCTCCACAAGATCGGGGCTTCTCTGCATCATTTTCCCTATGTCTTTGGATCTTCATTCACCGGTTTACTCCTAATGGTCACACTGTGGGTTAACAACATTAATGGGTACTGCAAGAACGATGTTTTCGACACTAATTTTCAGAAACATCACCCGGAAACGGTACAGCCAATACTTTTGTTTCCAAGTCAAGGCACCTATTCAACAGCCATGAATCAAGATGTAAAGGACCAGTAAAAAGAATCGGTGAGTATCAGATGTTATTTGCTAAAATGGTATGATACATACATCAGAATCGCGAAATCGTGCGGTGGACTCCAATGCCGCCGACAAAAGGAGAAGCTAATGGGATTCCAAGCATGGCTGCGCACCAAGAAGAAAAGCAACCGACCACTAAGCAATGTGGCAAGGGTGGAGATGAAGCAAGCTTATTTCCAATCCAAGGCCAAAGACTGAAGCTCCCAGATCAAGAATTAAGAGTTTCTGTAAGATGGGCATCAGCCATATGAGCAGTAGATTACCACCAGACTCATTATAGGGCCATTCATTCATGATTTAAAAAAAGGGTTTTTCTGAAATCAACACATGATGAATCCCTTGTAACGAAACTCCCAGATACTGCGTAACCCTAAAGCTACGAATGAATCAAATCCCAGAATCTAACTCCAGAAAAAAGAAATAGAATTGCATACGAAGCAGAGATTCGATTCCGATAAGGATCGAAAACCCCCATGATATAATCAATCAAGCGATTCCATCCTCCTGTTAAGATGCGTAGTTAGGGGAATTCTCTGACTCGGCAGCCGATGAACTCGACTCACTGAGTCAGACAAGCTGTCACGGAGGCGAGTCTATATTGGGTCTACCAACTCGAACCCAAGTCCGTGTACGAGAAAAAAAGGAACCAAGCATAGATACTGTGACATTTAAATTATATACTAAATTAAAAAAATGTTTCGATTTTCCACGTTTCCAAAAATGTTTTAACTATTTTTTTAAAATGTATTTTCAGATGTTTTTGTTCACGCCATCTACAATTTCTCTGTATAGTACAGATAAATAAATTATCGATGTTGAAATAATTCATAAAAAAAAAAAATAACATAACTGGCAGGTTACAGTTAATGCATGCCGTTGTCCGAACTTATATAAAAGGTAGACACCGGATATTTATATTACAAATAACAGTTGTATAGTTTCCGTGAGCCAAAGGCCATTGTATGATTATAGCGTATGCTTTTTATTATTTCCGTAATCACGTGTATTCATATGATTCCATTAATAGTTTCCCATCTACAGAAGTCCAATGATTAGTGGATTATAACAATATCCCTATTCTATTTCTACATCACATCACAAAATATGGCTGTTTGCCATTAAATAAAAATTTAAGAGCAATCTTTTGTTAATCATCACGGTTTAAGCAAACAAAGAAATGTACTTGCTAATCTCAAATGACAGGACATGCGGTTGTTTATACCCGAAATAACCGGAAACAGGATCCGAAATTCATACCGGGTCGGGTTCAAAGGGCATTTTCGTAAATGCCGAGCTTCTTCCCAGATCGATCCAAAAGCACGCGTTGTCTCGTCGGAAGCGCGTGATGGATCACGCGCCTTATTCTCTCTCACCTAATCAGATTGTATTAATGGTGAAAAATCGATCTAATTGGTCAGAGTATGCTCTTACAGCCAAATTAACAAGTTTTTGCTTCTTCCATACTTCAAATCTCTCCTTCGTCCCCCTCTGGTATATATGTGCGTATGATGTGTGTATACGCAGAGATCTTCTCTCTCTAGGGGCTGGTGACGTTGACGTAGGGGAGAGAGAGGTGGAGAGGAGAGAGGGAGGTGCATCTACAATGCGAACATGACTCAACACAGGCAATCGGGAACGGAGAGGTACGGCGGTCGCGGCGGTTACCACCACTACTCCAACGGCGGCGCGCCGTCGGATCACGTCGCAATCGGGATTCGCTCGGCCGGCGGCGGAGGCGGGAAGGCTGGCCGGTGGCGGCGATCCGCTCGGCCGGAAAGAAGTCGCCGCCTCGGCGTGGGCTCTGTCCTGTTTGTTCTATGTATTGTGCTCGTTGTCACTGTATTAGTGTACTATTGCATATCCGGTTACAGCAACAATGGCAACGATGATAAAGGTCAGTTGGTCTTTTTTAGCACCGTTTCGAGGGAAGTGTTAGATTAAGCTAAGTTAGATTCCTTATGTTCGGTTGATTTGGTGTGGAATATTCTCAAATCAGACAGTTGTCTTAGATCGCTTCTGATTATCTGTGTTAAGTTCTTGCTTATAGAAATTCTGAGGAAACTGATGAGAGGGATGGATCTGCTTGCGTTCCTTCTGCTTAGATCGCAGGAATGAGCTAAAACTTTCGTCTGCATTTTTCGCAGGATTTGATACTTACGATGGTGATTTTCTTATGAACGTTACGAGAACGGACCCTTCAACGATACTTAGATTTGGTCATGCGGCGCTTCGTCGGATCACGTCGCGATCGGGATTCGCTCGGCCGGCGGCGGCGGAGGCGGGAAGGCCGGCCGGTGGCGGCGATCCGCTCGGCCGGAAAGAAGTCGCCGCCTCGGCGTGGGCTCTGTCCTGTTTGTTCTATGTATTGTGCTCGTTGTCACTGTATTAGTGTACTATTGCATATCCGGTTACAGCAACAATGGCAACGATGATAAAGGTCAGTTGGTCTTTTTTAGCACCGTTTCGAGGGAAGTGTTAGATTAAGCTAAGTTAGATTCCTTATGTTCGGTTGATTTGGTGTGGAATATTCTCAAATCAGACAGTTGTCTTAGATCGCTTCTGATTATCTGTGTTAAGTTCTTGCTTATAGAAATTCTGAGGAAACTGATGAGAGGGATGGATCTGCTTGCGTTCCTTCTGCTTAGATCGCAGGAATGAGCTAAAACTTTCGTCTGCATTTTTCGCAGGATTTGATACTTACGATGGTGATTTTCTTATGAACGTTACGAGAACGGACCCTTCAACGATACTTAGATTTGGTCATGGTTCGGTGGCACATGGACGAGACTCGAGATATTGGGATAAGGACGACAGGAGACGAGATGATGATTACAATGAGGATGTTGTGGATAAGAGATTAGCTTCCGAGAACAAATCCATTGACGAGGACAGGTCAGTATCTGAAGTGAAAAAAGATGTATCGCGTGACAATGCTCGGGATTGGAGAGGGGTGGGGTTTTACAATGAAATCGGACGTAATGAGCTAAAGAAGTATGAAGCCGAGTATCAGGCTTCTCTTGAGAAGGGAGGCCAATCCTTAAAAGAAAATGGCGGGCATCATGATTCATTTGATGCTGACCCTGAAGACGATGATGTGATTGATTCTCATGATGTTCTAGCGGATGAATATGTTGATACTGGGCATGATGAGGATGAGAATGAAGAATCTCAGAAAGAGAAACAGCCCAAGTTTCTTCATTCCAAGATCAAGCATCAGAAAACTGAGAAGGATGATGAAGAAGCTGCTTCAGGAGGGTCAGATCTGGAGTCTTCTCTTATTAGTACAAATAGCAAGTCTGTAAAAACATCACGATCTGAAAAAAGAAGAAGATCTAGGCGTAAGTTTTCAGGTAGCCTTTTGTAATTAGTTGCTTGAGAAATTTGGGTAGCTACTGTTGAACCTCGTCTTTATGTTATAATCCTTCAGGTGCATCTTGTGAGATGAAGCTGTTAGATTCTAGTCAACCGATAGTAGAGCCTTTGGAAACTCGAAAATTTGCTAGGTTCTCTTTACAGTACATAGAGACGGAGGAGAAACCTGGTGGAGATGAACAGTGGGAGCCTAGATTTGCAGGTCATCAGAGTTTAGAGGAGCGGAAAGAGTCCTTCTTGGTTCAAGACAAGAAAATCCATTGTGGTTTTGTCAAAGGACCCAAAGGATCACCGAGTACTGGATTTGACCTGTCAGAAGATGATGCTAACTATATCAGCAGATGCCATATTGCTGTTATTTCCTGCATCTTCGGGAATTCTGATCGCTTGAGAGCTCCTGCCAGTAAAATGGTATGATATAATGCATTTTGTAGTTGATGGATGTTTATGTTGTTTTTTGCTTTCTTTTTTCCATATCTAGGATTTGGGTTTTAGGACCATTATTATTTTCTAGAAGCATGTATTAGTCTAGTAGTCCAATAAGTTATGTATCTCAGGAGTAGGATGTTGTGTCATATAGATAGATATTTCGCCGGCAGAAACATGAATGTCTTAGGATACCCCACAGGTATTGGCCAACCTAGAATAACCAGATTAGCGATTGGTAAATGTATTTGACTGCAAACCGTCATAAGATAATATAGGTATAGTATAGTTGTCACTTTAAACATCGATATAGCTGATTGCGCTGTGCTCGACCAGTCTGGGCCCGTAACAGGCGTACCAGCTCCTGGGTTTGTTCATCATTAGTGGAGTAGAAAGTTAACTAATACCTTTCTGTTTCCATGGGATCATGACAAATCCCCAAGGGTGGATGTCCGCTTTTGTTTGGAGTTCTCGTTCTGTTTTTGTATATAGAATTTACACCATCTTAACCAAAAAAAAAAAAAAAGAACTTACACCATTGTGCTAAGCCACTTTTATCATTGCATTTAGGTAAGCCGTCTGTCAAGAAAAAATGTTTGCTTCGTAATGTTCGTGGATGACATTACATTTCAAACACTATCTTCAGAAGGCCAAGCCCCAGATAGAGCAGGTTTCATTGGTTTGTGGAAGTTAGTTGTCGTCAAGAATCTTCCTTACACAGATATGCGGAGAGTAGGAAAAATACCAAAGCTGTTGCCGCACCGACTTTTCCCATCTGCAAGGTAACTTTCATTAATGGGTACAAATTCCACCCAACCGTCAGGCAGAATGAATAGCAAAACGTTTAACTGGTTTCAGGGTTGAGTTCAAATTCAATTTACAGTGAAAAGGCACTATTTGTATATGATATGTTTTAATATATTAATGACCGTTAGTATTGATGGGCGAAACCCGATGCTGTTCAGACCAAATCTGTCCTAAAACATACAGAAACTGATTTACTTCCCCTGTGTGATCTCAGGTACTCAATTTGGTTAGACAGCAAGTTGCGTCTCCAGTTGGACCCTCTACTCATTCTGGAGTACTTCCTCTGGCGAAAAGGTCATGAGTACGGAATCTCCAATCACTACGACCGCCATTGCGTGTGGGAAGAGGTTGTCCAGAACAAGAAGCTGAACAAGTACAACCACACTGTCATCGATCAGCAGTTTGAGTTTTACAAATCCGATGGTCTTACCAGATTCAACGCCTTGGATCCCAACAAGCTTCTTCCTAGCAGTAAGAATAGATTCTTTTCCTGATAACCGTTGACATAACCCATTTGCCTCACTTTTCCGTATTCCGATCTTCTGGTTTACGCTGTTCCCAGATGTTCCAGAAGGTTCGTTCATAGTACGGGCTCATACTCCGATGTCGAACCTCTTCTCCTGCCTTTGGTTCAATGAAGTTGAGCGCTTCACTCCCCGAGACCAGCTGAGCTTTGCTTACTCCTACCAGAAACTTCGGAGGGTTAATCCCGACAAACCTTTTTATCTTCACATGTTCAAGGTAAGATTACCGTTTGAAAAGGGTTAATATAAAACGTATAGACTCCTTTTAGAAACCTGGTTTTTACGGATTTGTGGACCGATATAACTATTGTATAAAGTTCACATCTTACTTGAATTTCAGGACTGCGAGAGGAGGAAAATCGCAAAGTTGTACCGTCACAGATCAGAGGAGAAGCGAAATCTACTACTAGCAACGACGCAATAAACGACTTCTTGTACGTTGTACCGACCTTATATGTCCCTTCTGTACATTACAGTGGCAGACCTTTACCATTCTCTGGCGCAGTAGCGAACTGAAAGGGCCACGGGATCGAACCACGGCTGCAGCCCCGACCATGAGGTATACGAAACATATTCCGAATCTGAACCATTAATAAAGCCTTCGTATAAGCTCTCGATTCACCATTTTTATTCCATTCATTTCTTCTATATGCCCTCCTGGCTTTTTTTTTTGTCTGTATCATTCACCATAAACTCAGAAAAAAGATTATCAGATTGATTATTTTTACGCAAACGCAAACGCTATACATTTGAAAAGCCGAAGAGCCTCTCAAAGAGTGAAACGACAATTACATACCTGAAGAACAAAACTATACAGTACAGAAAGAAAACAACATGGTGAGATAAAAGAGTCATCAAAAGGGTAACAAAAATGGCTTTGGCCTTCATTGCTTCAGCTCCAAAATAAACTATCTCCCTCACTCTTTCTCCCCCTTGCTCTTATTACGAGAAATCACAGCAACGCAAAAAAATGGGGATGAATATGACATGGATGCAAGATGAAATATCCATATCAAATGAAAATTCCCAAAATATTGCTTTTTTTTTTTTTCTGAAATAACAAGTGATGTGATGTCCCATTTACTTGGAGTTTATGAGCATTCGTAGGACAGTCTTCATCTTTGGCCTTGCGCCAGGAGATATGTTAATGCAGTGGAGAGCAACCCCAAGGACGCGGAGCATATGGCTTGTGGTGACCGGTGATGATCTGCTCACTCTAGGATCCAGAATCTGATCACACTGGTCCTGCTGGCTCGACCGGCTCTGCACCCACTTAGCCAGTTCGCTTCCTTGGCTCATGGCTGGCTTCCCAGTTAGCAGCTCCAGGAGAATCACCCCAAAGTTGTAGACATTACCAGCCATTGTCACCCTCATTGTGTAAGCGTACTCTGAAGGAGATACCAAAAAACGTGAAAGGATGTGAGACAGATGATGATGTTTCTGACCAAAAAGGCTTTTCTTTGATGTGTTCTCTCTCACCTGGTGGAATGTATCCTATGGTTCCGGCAACTGCAGAGAGGCTGGTGGTGCTTTTGGAAGGATCTATCACCTTGTACAGCTCAATGTCCCCTACCAGCGGTTCGGTTAACGACCTCAGCATTATCTTTCTGCTCGAGAGATCGAGGTGAAGGATTGGATCACGGTCATGGGAGGAGGATCCATGCAAGTAGGAGATCCCTTGAGCTATGCCCACTGCTATGCTGTACCTGCTTGGCCAATCGAGACCTTCTCCAGAATGGTTGTGGAGAACGTCGTAGAGGGTACCCTTTTCGGGAATTTCGTAGAAGAGCAAGCACTCTTCATTTGAGAGCACATAAGCCAGCGGGACCATGACGTTTGAATTGCTCAGCTTCCCCAAGATCTCGAGCTCTTGCTCCAGTTTATCACGGCTGACCAGCTGGATCAGCCTGTCACTTGTGTTGAGCTTTTTGATGAAGTAACTCAAACCCGAGGGCATGGCCACTCTGTAATAACTCCAGAACCTTGTCTTCGACAGAGCATTTTCTGGATTAGAAACCGCTTCCATGGCTTTGGTGAAGTCTATGATTGACCGGTGCCGTACATTGGTAGTGAGAAGCTTTCCATGGAAGACCTGAGGTAGAGCTGATCCTATTTCCCTCTGATCTAGCTGCACATCGTTAATTCCGTTGAAGCGTCTTGAGAGTTTCAAGGCAATGACAGTTATGATTCCCGCTGCAAGAACTGCGGCTGCAAGTGAGGTAAAGATGGGAACCACTGCCAGTTTCCTCTTCTCTATTACTGACCTTTTCTGAGAATCTTGAGTAGTGTTTTCGATACTGAGGCCAGGGTTCCCATTGGTTTCGAGTAGAACTTTAGGGTTGAAAGTTGGAATATCTCCTGTGAGCTGATTGTTGGAGAGTATGAGCTCTGTAAGAGAGTTTAACCCGGATAGAAAAGTCGGAATCTCACCCGAGAATTGGTTATCCGATAGATCAAGAATTTCCAAGCGGGTGAGTTGAGACAACGTACCGGGAATATGCCCTTTAAACCTGTTATGGCTGAGATTTAAGGAAATTTGCAAACTTGATGGCATTATCGGAATCTCCCCGCTTAGCTGGTTTTGCCCGAGTTGGAGTTCTATAAGAGAGCTCAGATTTCCAATGTTGTCGGGTATGCTACCGTTTAGATCATTGCCTTGCAAGTCCATGTTGGATAACTTCTCCAATAGCGAAACAGAGGTCGGTATTGAGCCACTCAGTGAATTCCAGCTGATGTTAAGAATCAAGAGGTTACCTAACAATGTGATTTCGTCCGGGATTCTTCCGGTAAGCTTATTTTGCTGCATTTCCATTCCTTGAAGCTTGCTGAGGTTTCCTAAATCAGAAGGCAAGGAACCAGTGAACTGGTTTGCCGCCAAGTTCAGGAGTGTCAAGCTCTGACACAAAGCTAGTTCACGAGGTATGTGTCCAGTTAAGGTGTTGTTGTCCAGTTCGAGGTATGTTAGATCTTCCAGTGACTCAAATGCAGCCGGAGGCAGAATCCCGGTTAGCTTGTTGCTTCCGAGTCTCAACCTAACCAGGTTCGGCGAAATGTGTTGTGGTACTGAACCATTCAGCTGGTTGAAGGACAAATCCACAGAGACAAGATTAGACTGTGACAGAAGATCATCTGGTATTGATCCGTTTAGATAGTTGAAGCTGAGATCTAAGTTACTCAGGTGTTTTGTAATCCCGGAGGGGATCGGACCGGTGAAAAGATTCCGGTTTGCTGCAAACCGGCGGAGCGTTTGGATGCTTGAAACTGAATTTGGGATCTGCCCACTTAGATGATTGTTGGAAAGAACAAAAGTTTCCAACTTGGAGAGGTTACCGATCGAAATGGGAATTGGGCCTATGAGATGATTGTCGCTAAGATCGATTAGGGTTAGTTCTGGGTAAGCTGCGATTCCTTCAGGAAGAGAACCATCCAACAGATTATCTGAAACATGGAGCTTCTCCATACTTTTGGCCAAACTGGTCGGAACAGAACCAGTTAAAGAGTTGAAGCTGAGGCTCAGAGTCTTCAACTGAACCAACCCATCAAATCCATAATCTCCAATGCTTCCTCTCAGTACGTTGCGAGAAAAATCCAGAACCTCCAAGGCTGAGAACCCGCGAAAACTTGGGAAAGAAGAAAAGTTGTTGGAGCTGAAGTTCAAAAGCTTCAACCCCTCAAGTTTTTGGCAGTTGGAAACAAACCCGTCAGGGATTGAGCTCAGTCTGTTGTCGGAGACATCAAGAGCCTTCAAAGTTTGGATTTTGCAAACAAGTGGCAAGAAACCAGAGTTTGAGAGATCGAACCCAGAAAAAGACAGTCGAATGACAGAGAAGTTGTCGGGTTGGCTGCAGAGAACACCGTTCCATGAACATGGGTTTTGCTCACTCCAAGCGGAGATGTTGAGAATGGAGGAGATTTCCATCATAGTGCTTGTCTGGTTTGGAGATAACTTTGAATAACAGACGTTGCAAGACATGAAGAAGAGGAAGTAGAAGAGACAGAACCTGAACTTGCCCATTTTGGAAGGACCATGAATCATAGTTGACTGCGTGTTCCTTTAAGAGAAAAAGATGATAGCTAATGTGGGAAAGGGGGTGTTTGGATTGTGGGAAAATTTGCTGAGAAAAATATTGTTTTGATGGATTGAAGACAATGAAGAAAAGGTGGTAATAGTAGTGTGGCGTGTTGGAGGGGGTGGGGGAGTTGACCGGTGACCAAAGACTCGTGTATATATATATATGTATATACACATACTTACTATTCCGAGTGAGAGATGAAATGAGGGACACTGAAAATGACGGTCGGGGAAAATTCTTGCCCCCACGCGGTTCCCATTGTCGTCGTCTTGTAATTTACCGGATTTTCCATTGGGCCTAAAATAGGCCCATTAGGTATGACATAGGCCCAATTAATTATTCGGCTTATGAGTGGTGATATATATATATATATATATATATATTTTTTCACAATTATTGATACTTGGCAAAAAAAACGTCAAAGATATTAGGATGAGAGTAAGTGCAGAGACAGAAGTGAAACTTCGAAGATGATGACTACAGCAGCTTCACCCATTGGATTTGTTCAACCCGATTCTCTCCTTTTTCCCAGAAGTAAATTCTTCGACAAGACACGATCTTCACGAACTAAGTGGGTTTATTCGTCGTCGGCTTCTTCCTCGGAGACATTCTGTCGAACGGCTTCTGCGCAAGTAATTCAGGAGGGCGTCTTCGATGGAAGCAGCGTAGAGAACTGGAAGAAGAAGAAGAAGAAAAGGGTGTTCTTATTAGATGTCAACCCGCTTTGCTACGAAGGAAGCAAGCCTAGTTCGCATGCTTTTGTTCACTGGGTAACACTCTTCTTCTCCCAAGTCAGCCTCAATGATCCTGTCATCGCTGTAAGCCTGTCCTTTGTTTCATTTCTCTGTTTAAGATTCATGAAAAGAACTTAAAAATGGCGTTTTCTGTTAGTTTCTGGATGAAAAGTTGTGAATTTGTTTGTTTGCAGGTTCTTGATGGAGAACAAGGGAACCAGCAGCGCAGGGAATTGCTACCTTCATATAAAGCGCATAGGAGGTCTCCGGTCTCTGGAAGATACACCAGAGGTCTAACCGTGATGCCGAATCAATTCGCCAATGATGTTCTCGGGCGATGCAATGTGCCAGTGGGTAAAACTGGGATATTTATCTTTCTATTATATCTTCTTTTACTTGTGTTATGCTCATCACTTTCATTTCACCCCTTAAAGTTAATGCTGGATTATCTCAATGCTGAGAAACGAGTTAGGTTTTTCTGTGTTAGTTGTATTGTTTCTAGTAGAAAATTCACTGTATTTACAATAGGTTGGCATTTGAATGGCCTACAGAGACCGGGGGATGATGATCTGATTGGAAATCTGTTTATGCAAGGTTGTAAGAATAAAAGGGCATGAAGCAGATGATGTGGTGGCTACACTGGCAGAACAAGCTGTTCAAAGAGGACACCGTGTGGTTATTGCATCGCCCGACAAAGATTTTAAGCAATTAATCTCCGAAGATGTTCAGATAGTTATGCCTGTAGCAGAGCTTGGCAGATGGTCTTTCTACACCTTGAAACACTACCATGCTCAATACAATTGCGATCCACAGTCCGATTTGAGCCTTCGTGAGTTTCCCAAACCATCTTTCCATGCTTTTGGCCCTTTGTGTGACGAATAATACCGAATCAATACATTTTTGTTTTGGTGCTGAGCATGAGATATGAAGAAACACTACTATATTATTGTGACCAAAAGTTTGATTTGAGCCTTAAAACTAACTCTTTTTGTTCGGCTATAGCTCTATTGTCATCTTTTTGCTAGCCAAAGAATCATTAAGCATTTGGTTATGGGCTACAGTAAACAGAGGTATTAATTTACTATAGGATGCATAATGGGTGATGAAGTTGATGGTGTCCCCGGGATTCAGCATGTGGTTCCTGGATTTGGTAAGAAAACCGCGATGAAACTCGTGAAGAAACATGGCTCTCTGGAGAATTTATTGAGTGCTGCATCTGTAAGAACCGTAGGAAAACCATATGCCCAAGAGGCGCTCACGAAACACGCAGATTACTTGAGAAGAAACTATCAAGTTCTTGCCTTGAGAAGGTTTCTCTCTCTCTCTCACGATCTAAAACGTTGTTCCAAACATTAAGATTCAATCCTTGAATTCTTAAAATTGTTCTTTTGCCATGTTCTTGTTGACCCGGAATCGCCTTTTTTTCCACAGGGATGTCAACATACGCATTCAAGAGGAATGGCTAGTGGAGAGAGACACGAGCAATGACTCAGAAGTTCTGTCAAGCCTTTTCTAGTGCACCAGAACAGATCTTTGTCTTGTCCATTCAAAGACAGGAGAGCTCATATCTAATCTCCATGACCAGCCAAAGTCACTTGATGCATACTTGAAGATTTGTCCGGCAGCGTTGCTCGTTGCAGTTGATTGGGCTTGGCGATGAATGGAATTCGACGATCAGAATGTTTACTGTTTACATGAACGATAAACAAAGTATGAACAATATCCCGACTATACATAGTAGCGTGGTTTCCACCATTGATATTTATAACAAAATGAGCATACTTCCTGATATTATTTGGGAGAGAACAAATTACAGAGAAAAGGGAGAGAGCCTAAAAAAACATCTTACAACAAATGAGAACATACTTGGAACAGAGAACACAAGGGCAACATAGGTAGTTAGAGATTACTATTTGAGACAGAACCACCATCATTTCTTGGTGAGAAACCACAGGCACCTGAAATAAGCAGTTGAAAAGAACTGTCTGAATCATCGAACATCGACCTTGGGAATTCATGGAAGCCTCCGAATGTATCGAAGCTCATCAGAGGCGAAAAACAGTTGGAAGAAACATCAAAGTTCCCTTTCATTTCCAAGATTCCGGGCTGTGTGGTTTCCCGATCAACAGCGTTTGAAGTTCCGAAACTGAAACTCACCATTCCCGGGTTGTCGTTCACAGCTTCAAAGGTGTCTCTCTGTCCAGATGACGGTTTTGCCTCTTCCACCGGGATTGCAGGAGTGTGGCCCTGAAACAGAGCAATGTGGCCAAAGAGCTTGTCTTTCCTTGAAAACGTGGTCCCGCAGGAACAGAGCCACTTGTTTTTCCCGCAGTGCTTCTCATGTGTCTTGAGATCAGCGAGGACCGAGAACTTCTTGGCATGGCATCGGCTGCAAGTGAAGCTTTTGTCGCAGTGGGTGCGTTTGTAATGGTTCTTCACGCATAGGATTGTCTTCAAAGGCTGAAACTTTTTGTGATCCTTATTGCGTTTGCAGCCGGGGAATGGGCACGAGTATCTCTTTATCAGAATCGGCTCAGACCCAGAACCGGATTCTTTGTGTGGCTTAGCAAGAGCAGCCGGTGTCTTGTACTCATCCCCATGGCCTCTCATGTGCATTCTCAGATTCGCATCTCTTTTGAAACCCTTCCCGCATATCGTGCAGAAATGTGTGTGTGGTGCGAGAATCTCCTCTTTCTCCAGCTGCAATATCTCGTATGAACCCGGAGGAAGGTTCTCTCCTTCCTCTACATCATCTTCGTCTTTCATTTCATGTTCTTCCACAACATGGCTATCTTTCTCATCAATCTTTGAATCGCCAGAAGGATCAATCCGTTTAGACAAATCAGAGTCTTGGGCACCACAGTTGTCTTTTAGTTGAGTCTGTGAGCCAAAGTTATCAGTTTCCCTTGCATAGTAGGGAAACAGGGCTGAACCAGGCAGTCCAGTATATGGACCCAGCGTTGACATATTATTCTTAACAGATGGAAGAAGACTGCCTGCAGTGGAAATCAGCTGTATGATTATGGAAGTAAGATCTGCGGTTATAAGCTGCTGTTGCTGAGCCACGAGTTCATCCGGACGGCTCACAAGCTGCCCACCTCGCCCAACTATCAGATGAACGAGATCCTGAAGCTGGTGGATCTTCTGTTCCAAAAAGGATAGATTGTTCAGCATTGCTCTCGGGTCCCAAGTCTGCACCTTACCTCCTTGCAGAGGATCATTGTTCACTTGACTGTTATCTTGGCCAGGATCTTTCATTTGACCAAACATTTGCATGCCAGGCTCGATTCTCATGTCGAAGTCTAAGATAGACGTGTCTTCCCATTTCTGCTGCGATGCAGATGCTGTGAAGGACCTGTTATTTCCAGAAGAACCCGGTTCGGGCAGTTTCTCACCTATGGAAGAAGAGTTCCCCCAATTGTTCTGGCACAGATCCTCGTCGGTATCCATCTTCTGAGATTTTGTATTCAACTCCGATCTCTGCGGTGAAGACAAAGCACTGAGAGGAACAGCTTGATAAGTAACGATCAAGATTCAATCAAAATCCAAAAGGCCTGGAACTGGAAGACACCAAATCCTTATCAGAATCAAAACAATATCCGGCATAAATCCCCTGTATTCTTCATCACTCCTAATCAAACTTGAACATTCCAATAAATGTATCACATAAAGACTTACAATTTTCAGAAGAAGGTAGATACTCATCAGAATTCAAAAAACAAATAATGAAACGGCAAACATAGAACGTATACACACACAATCATGTCATATAATCAAATTCAATCCCCATTTCTCCTACTGGATGCCAAAAACCTTCTCACATGATCCAATTCGAGAGAAATTTTCTCACACAATCCTAAGATCTCCAAAAAAAAACCCTAAACTAACCTTAAGCTGCGTAAAAAACATTACGAGGTCAAAACCCGATCGTCTAGACACACTGACAGTATTATCACGTAATCAAATGAAATTATCATCGCGGGAAGATAAATTAGACAGAAGAGAACCCGAATCATCTTGTGAAAACCCAAATAAACAGGAGTTGATGGAATCGAATTTGTTCGGGAAAAAAATTCAACTTCCAGATGTAAATTCGCGAAAAAAAGGTTACACAAACTCAACCGGAAAAAAATAGGAGACAGAGAGACGACCTTACTAGATTATCAGCGTCGGATTCTCCTCCGTGACCTCCAATGGCCGATTTAATGGGGGGAGAGGGAGAGGGAGAGGGAGAGAGAGAGAAGCAACGTGGAAAGAGAAGAGCAGGAGCTCGAGAGAGCTGTTCGAGTTTTGGCTTCGATCTCTCCACCATCTTTCCAATTTCACCATGTGTAAGTCAACCCATTGATCTCAGCCGTTGAAAACATCACGATGGGATCCCACCAGATCCGACGTCTATAAATTATTCGATCGCATCAAACGTCGATGCTACATCACGGCCGTTGATTATTCGAAGGGCGGGGTCCACCTCCAGCATGATAAGAGTTAGACGGGCACAATTATTAAATGTTTATTCCTTTTTTCTCTGTCTATGCGCTGCAGTCTGCATATTTGACTTGGCTACTTGCCAATTAATTATCATTAATTTACTACATAATAATAATATATTGTTATTATTATTATTTTTAAAAATTACCTCAATTTAAAAATGATTTATAACGATTATTATCATCAAATTTATTTAAAATAGACAGTATAAATTCTTTAAAACTATTACAATATTTTACTTTGAATTTAAATATGTTAGATTTATAAATGGTTTATATTGTATTTTTAAGTTATATATATGAATTAGTTTTAATACACTCATTTAATGAGTACATATACATATCAAGATAATAAAATTCTAACTGCTTAGTTTATATATACACACGCATTTGCCTAAAATAATACATCCGTTTAACAGGAAAATCGGAAATTTATAAAAAACAAGACTCGTATAGAAGAAAAAAAATAAACACAATATATTTTAAACGATTCAGATAAAATCATATAAATAAATATAGTTTTTTATGATATGGTTTAATTCAATAAAAAACTTTTAGGTGGGCAAAATAAAAAAGTCATAATTTTTTAGGGGTATGTATGCAAATAGACTAATATTTTTTATTTTACTAATTATTCACTGGCATTGCTTTATTATACTGTAAATCTCGGAGTGGCCTGTGGATTTGATCACGGCTCATGAAGGTTCGTGGGGGCATGAGAGGGTAAAATGGGAAACTAAAAAAATTCCCATGTGTCGCTATCTTTGGAGCTAATTAAAGATTATGTCACCTGTTTAGGGACATTTTCATTTTCCAATAAATCAATGATGCCTAAATACGTATTTCCGTGTTCCTTCCTACCCTCCAATTTATTTATAATTTAAAAAAAATAAAAAATTATAAGTGCTTGCATATTTTATTGTCTATTAGAGACTTTGATTGATACGAAGAAAAAAAGAAAAAAATATTTTGAAAATTTTTTAACTTATTAATATTACACCAAATTACAAATTCAGAAATTTTTAAATATTTAAAAAAAAAATCAAACTCAGTTATTTTTTATACACTATATATTTGTGGATAACAATGAATCTATATTTTTTTTAATAAAGACATTTTATTAATTTGATTATAAATTATAAAAAAAAAATGAGAACAAAATTAAAGATGTTTTTTGAAAAATTAAATTAATATTTTATAGTTTATATTTATGTGTATAATATGGAAATAATTTCCAAAACCTATATAAAGGAAAAGGAGATAAATCTTGTTGGGCAAAGTGGCTGAGACTATTTATAAACTGTAATTATTACAAGAAAGAGCAGTGGGAGTCGATTGTTCTGAATAGTTAATAAAATAACCCTGACAAGTGCAAATGATTCCATTTAAGACAAAGTGGGAGTGTCACGATTTCACATTTAAAAAAGACATTTTTATTGTTACTGTTGTTGTCCTTTTTTTATTTCATTTTTTAAAAGATAGTGTGTTGGTGGTGGGTTTGCCACTTCTTGTCCAATTATTTCACATGTATTCATTAATAATCAAAATTTCACCACTCCTTGGAAACCCATTCACAACTCTTTTTCTTTCATGTGAGAATCCGAGATCTCAACGTAATTGAAATGGATATATATATATACACATATAAGAATCTTAAGAGATGATATAATTGTGTCTAGTATTAAGATTTTCAAGTTTGAATATTAGTTTTTAAATTCGCATTCAAATTCTCATTTAGGGAGAGACATTCATATAAACTTTTCTAATTCTCTGGGAGATGTAGTTAAGTCAACATCCGGTAAACTTCTAGATTAAAAAAACTTTAAAGTTTGAATATTGGCTAAATATTGAAATTAGTGGGATATATTTATGATTAACATTTAAGTGTAATATACTAATGTTTTATTATTTCGGGAGAAGTTTGGACCACGCAAACAAAAGCTGTTTGAACATCCACTAAGATAAGATAACACTAAATCCAAAGTTCTCTTTCTTCACCTCCCCACTTTATAACCTAACCTTTACACACAAACAAAAGTTGCTCCTAGATTCCATACTATTATACTAAATGTTAGTAATTATAGAATTTATGTATTACCATATAATAAAGAATTTATGAATTGAAATTAATTCGAATACAAGAATAGTTTTTATAATTTATTTTTTGTTAAAGATTGTTGTTGCTGTTGTATTTGACAATTTAAAAAGGTTTATGTACGCAGTGTTTTGCCAATGGCTATATCAGCTAAGGGGCAAAGAGTTATAGTGCATGTTTGAGAACCGTTGCCACAATGAAGAGGAGGCCAGTCTTGGGCAAGTAGCATGAAGAGCCGCCATTTTTGCTCTAAGTCTTGTATCGACCTCATTAGTACTTGCAGACTCAGATAGATAAATTTGCGTGAATTCTAGAATCCCTTTCCTTCCACAGTGTGTAGATAGTTAGTTTCCATACAATGACGGTTGTCCATCTCATCTGTGGACTCTCCCAAGTACCCAATAACCAGCTTGTGATATGAAACCGTCGAAAAGAAGGAACCTGGACTCCGAGACGTCGCAGGGATTTGCGGAAGATATCCTGCGTAGCTTGGCATTCAAAGAATATGTGATTTTTGGATTCAGTAGCATTGCTGCAGAACAAACAATGTGGGTCTCTCTGTAGTCCCCACTCCATCATCATACGGTCCTTAGCAGGACAACGATCGTGGCAGATCTACTCTTGCTTGCTACGAGCTAGCCTTGCACGGTGCCTGAGCTCGGCTCTTTTCCATTTCACGATAAGGTGGCAAAGTGAAAAGAGCGTGTTTATCTGCCAAAAAAGACGTTGAGTCCACGGTCAATAGCATTCACAAGCGAGGGGAGGTTGATGTGATGATCTATGATGTGAAATACATACCAAGATGATCATTGCAATGACGAGAAGGGGGCCAGACCAGAAAACAGACAGGAAAGCTCCATGCGGGTCGAAGTAGTTCTGAGTTGCAAAGCTCTTCCAGTTCTTGCCCAAGAACCGGTTGAGAGTCTTGGCGAAATATACTCCAGCCACTGCATAAATCCAATACCCTAAATCTTAATGTAGAACAAGAAGACTATCTCCAAAACAAATGTCACAAGAACACAAGCCACGAATCACTGGGTGATCTTTTACAATCCAAAAAAAAAAAGTAAAGATGTCAGCGACTAACTCATAGGTTTCTGTCGGCTCATCATAATTTGTTTATAAGAAAAAAAAGATGTCATTTCATTTTTATAACCATGGTAAGAGTCTCCATCCTGTATAATCCAAGAGACCAAGCAAATCATCCCCCAAGCCCAGCCCAGGGCAATGACCTTGATATATATTCTGCACTCAATTCAAAAATCAAACCCCATACCGGATGTTTCACAATAAGCAAAGTCTAGATCTTTTGTAGTTAGAATAGTGCAGGGAAAGATGATACGTTTAGAGCTATCAAGGATTTGTGTATCAGTTAACCTAGAGGCCAACCTATGTCAGTCAGAAGTGCCTAAACAGAAAAACAAAAACGATTCATCGGCGAGTTCCAAAGGGTGTTAGAGACCAGGGAACTTACATGCCAATAAGAACAAGCACATGTGGAAGTTGAGATGCTTTCTAGAGAGAAGAGCTACGAGTAGCAACAGGGCATGAAACGCCAGCAAACCCATAATCCAAGGTTCCTGTAAAATTTGTGACCGGCAGGGATTATGTCCAAATGCCCGAGGAATGTAAATGCACAAGCAATAAACGAAAAGAAACATCACAGGAAGCAGAAAACCCAGCAAAAAAAATCCGGATACGACCGTGCAAAGAACTTAACACAATCATTTCTGGGGAGTAGAGATTGGAGTATATGAAGCCAAATCAATAACCAAGGTTTAGCCAACGTGTAATACAATCAAACTGCACCTATAGAATGTAATACTTAAGACAATCAATCTCATTCTCGAACTGATATTAGCAAAGCCGGGTCGGCCACTGCCTAGTAGCTATACTCAGAAGAAAAGACTTCCTGGAATTCCAGAAAACAGAGCAAAGAAACGAGGTTACTTGACCAAGTTTCGAAATGGAAATTCCATGGAATTGGAGTTCGAACAACGCAATTGCCAATCTCATACTGTTATATGAAACCATAAATTGGGACCACCACCTCTTCTGCTCGCTCAGTGTAATAATCGAAGAATGCCGTAGGAGTTTTCCCTCTACTCCCGTTTCATCAAAGAGCGAAAAACCCCAGCAAACAGAAAAGCCTAAACAGATTGATAAAGGTGAAAACACCGTGACTCGTTACCTTCCAATCGATTGCGTGGTAGAAACCCATGAAACTCTCGTAAGCAGGTTGCAAACCCGATCTGATCTCGCCGGACATCTTCTGAACCAGATCCGCCATTAGATCCATGTGTTGCTCCATTGCCGATCTCAAATCCTCCATTCTCCCGGCAAATCTCACCAACAACGAGATCCAACAAAAATATCTTCCTTGCACAATCTGGCAAGGAGTTCTGCGCTTAATAGTGCCCCTGAAGTTGCTAGAAAATAATATCGCTGTCATCTCGAGAATGTCCTCATTGTTTCCTCTATTATTATTATGGCCCCTAAGGCCAGTTTTGGCATTTTGAAAAATTACATATTAATACACTAAATTATATAAAAAAATCTCATATAAATATACAAACTATAAAATATTCAAAAAATTATAAACTTTTATTATTTTTTACATTAAAAACTACATTTTTAAACGGTTTAAAAAAGCCACTATAATAAAATAGTTTTTTGAAATCGTTCAAAAATTTTAAATTTAATTTATTATTTTTAAAAAGTTTAAGATTTAATATAAAAATTAGGAAGAGTTGTTATAATGAAAATTTTAAAATTTGTGTATTTATTTAGGATTTTTTTATAAATCCGTATGTTAATATAGAATTTTCTCTAAATAATGATAGGAAAGGGCCAACTTGACTCAACCGTAAAACCATTTACGACGGGTTCGAATCCACCTCTTTATGTTAAAATGTAGGAATAAGGTGGCCTAAGTCCAAAACATTAACCAGATGGGGTACAAACTGAGTTGGTTCTTCAACGATATCACGTAGGGATCGAAATCGAACATTTTCAGGCTTGAAAACACAACCATTCGCCATTGCGTATCTAATCTAATGTATAATGAATCCTATTAATCCACCTAAAATCATTTCGAAATAATTTAGGCACCGTTTTCTATAAAAATTCAGGTATGGTAATTTTATTTTAAAATTTGTTCGGATAACTTCTGAATGGATAAAGAGTTTCCCCTTGCCTTTATTGGGAAAATGATGATATGACCATGCTGATGCACTGGGAGTATATTGTACATACAATAGAGCTACAACAATTAAAAAAAAAAAAAAAAGTTAAAAAAAAAATATTTTTTTAAGGAAAAAAAGGGAAGAAAAGGCAACATAAGACATTACAGAACAACACAGCAACCACATTACATCGCTGCCCGTTTCACATTGCTACAACCCAACAAACATTGACAGTCTCTGAAATCCAAATCAGCGAAACGATGTCGTGTTCCGTGATGGATATGGACATCAAGCTTCGCAGGATCCATACGAAAGATCCACGAAGGGGGGGCGTACCTGAATCGTGTAAATGGTGTTGAACTACAGGCTAGAGTATAGTGTCGACACGGTCGATGACATCGAGGGCTTTCATCCGATCAATGTCGAAATCTATGATCGGAACAGAAGAAGGTCTCCTGATCGGAAAAGGGTCCTTCTTGCTCTTCATCTCACCACCCATCATAGGCGAGTAGCTGCTGCTCTTGCTAAGCCTGTGGTGCTTACACAGCCGCCGTGATTTTGCCGCCGTCTCGAATTCCTGGCTCTTGCTTATTCCGGGCGTCTTTTTCCTCATGCTCACGTCCCTAAGCATCTCTTGATCCTCCATTGTTAGTATCGGTGGCGAGGATGGGCTCGATTTGTGGGAAATGGTCGAGATTTGGATCGCTTTCTGAGTGGCCGGTGACCTCATCGGAGATTTCACCGGAGATCTTAGCCCGCCGGTGGTGGTCCTGATCTGGCTGACCAGATGATGAAGCCATACCACTTGTTCCAGTATGTATTCCTCGGTTTTCTCTTTATCGGCGTGGTGAAGGGTCTCTATCCTTAGTATGGTTTGGCCCCCAGGCCTCTGGTTCGTCTCCGACCTGAAATTTTCAAACAAAGGTGAATGAATGAATATACGTAGAGAGTGACAAGGTGAAGAAGATGAATCAATTATTCCTCAGGGACTTTACCCGGTATTTGCCCATTCTCCGACCCATCCAAACCCGTGATGCGCTCTGGTTGAGAAGATGATTAAGAACAGGTGAATTTCCATATCAAATGACAAAACCAGGAAGTCTAAGAAGGATCGTATATATTATTGATACATAACCACTATCAAGATTGATAATCCAAAGGAAAAACATAGAAAAGGCTTTTACTTGGTTGTGTTCGTAGCAATTGGAACAAGCCACTGCAGTGTTTTCTCCATTTCGGTTTTTATTTGGGGAATGGTTAGCTGCTGGAAAAAAATATTCGGATACGTTGAGTGGAGAGAATACATACGTATGGCTGACGGCAAGGATTTATGCAAAGATTCGGTCAGGAAAATACCTCTTCCTTAACCTGGAAGGACTGTATTTTGGAGCGTAATGCAGATTTTATACTCGGAGGTAACCCTTGGTACAAAGCGTCCCTTGTGCTTGCAGGCATAGAGCTAGACCGGGACACCTATTTATAATATCAAATCATAATGAGAAAAAGAAGAAAACAATCCGACATAAAGTCTGTGGTTCAAGAACAAGAACAAGAACAACAGCAATACAGATGTCGTTGTAAGATTCTTACTGAAACTGTATAACTGCCGTTCCAGTTGGGGAAACAAAAGATTCATGGTACAGAGAAAGGAAAAGTAAAATAGATTAGAAATGAACAAAGAACTCACAAGAGTATCAATTTGGGTAATGATGTTTGCGTAATGTAATGCAAGGCCAGCGGAGCCCAACTTTCTACTACGTTTGCAAGAAGAATCACTTACTGGCTTGTCGGAATCTGCATTTCATTGACAGTAACAAGGATTCAGCTATCCTTCTATGTTATATACGCATTCACGGGTTCTCATTTTAATAAGTCATCATGTCCTCCAAAAAGTGCAAAATACAATATATATATATATATATATACACACACCCAGATTATAAGACATATCACTTTATCCCTGGCTTGATTCTTACCAGCGGCACCAAATGCTTCATGGATTTCCAAATGCAAGAAATGGACAATATCAACAAGTTTCTCCATCACCTATGGAGTAAGAAAGATCTCGAGAGTTTAAATTTGAATCGAAATGAGCCCAGAAAGCTGATAAATTTCCGGAAGGACAACCTCGGTTAAACAGTTTGAGACAATACCTCTTCCAAGATCTTAGACCAAAGCGATTTCTTCTTCAAATTTCTTACATGCTTCCCCTGACTCTTTAGCTCAGCTCTCAAGATTGCAAGACCGTCTCCGACACCTCAATTAGAAATGGCACAAATAGAAAGAAAATTAGAGCAATAACCAATACAATGGTAGTAGACAAACGAACCTTAAACTAGATAACATCAATAGGCTAAAGACATCATCATAGGTAGGTACCTCTTTGTGAAGTGTTTGGATTCTCCTTTTCCTGGAGCTTACGGCGGTAATCTTGTTCAAATCTGTCCAACGCATGGAGCTCATGATACAAATCCTAAACCCATCACAGAGAAGGTATAAAACATTAACCAGAGTTAGCCATCACGATCCAAGGAAAGACCATAAATCATCACTTCTCATGAAATCACTTACAGCTGTATAATGAACCAAAGTCATCAAATGGTGCATTGTGGTTTCCGCTTCTTGCTTCAATTGTTTCTGAGGTGTAAGCTCAGAGCCCCACCTAAGTCACAACACAGCACTAATGAGAAATCGGATGTGACACAAACAACGAGACCAAAGAAATTTTAAGCGAACAAGGTGGATGATTGTGTTGGAGTACCTTTCAAAGAAACGATCAAGGTGGTGGTATTGAGGATCCTTGCAACGGTTCCCAAAACGCACCACCTCTCCAGAAAAAATTCTTAACTCTTCCCTGTAAATGATTAAAAAAACAATGTGGCTGATTCCTAATCTTAATCCTAATGCTAAAAAATGAAAAATATTGTAAAGGGCATGCAACATCCAATAGGAGTAATAAAATTGCTACATGCTGTTACCTTTTATCTGCCGCAGCTATTCTCAAAAGTTCATCCGTATCTTTTGATATTAAGTTTTGGACCCCTTCAGAGGGTAACACTACCTCTTTCAAATGCCTAATGCTATCTTTTGAGAGAGACTGCATAAGATTGGCACCTTTAACGATTGTGTTTGCAACTTCGAAAGCCAAAATTGAAATTTTATTCCCTTTTGTCGTAACCCCGGAGGTAAATCCTCCGCTAAGGTTCAGATTCGTCATGCTACTCCCGAGTGTGTCCAAGACCTCCACTGCCTTCCCGAGCCCTGCCGTACCAGCCCTGCCTAGAAGAGAGCTTACTTCTGAAACCTAAAAACAGAAAAAGCCTAGCCGAGTTACCCCCACCAACTTTACTAGTATCATTCAGCCAAAATTCAACCAATACCTCATCCAAAGGACTTCGATCTACGCTATCCATTGAAATATGGAACTGAGAATAAAGAGAGAAAAATTCAAATTACCTTTGCCACAGCAGCCTCTCTGGACTTGGTTGATCTAGATTTATGCGAACGAACCCTAGAAAGGCGGGGAATTCCATCATCAATATCTTGGGGATGAGCTCCATCAGCTAATACATTCAAATCCGGAAATGAAAACGATTCTGCCTGCTGCTTATCCCTGTCTTCCCTCACCCCAGAAGCATTGCCATTGCCATTGCCGTATTCTTTCGATGCAAGTTCACGGGACTGGAAAACCACTTCAGACCCACCATTGATATTGCCATTAACATGTGGAAAGCTTCCACCGGGAGCATTATTTACAGAGGAACTCCTCGAGCAAAGCCCTCCCATCACGTCAGGAATTCACTATTACCACTTATTATCAACTGAACTCAATCTCTCTTGCAGCTCTACGAAACGTCAAAACAACGAACTACATAACCCGAAAAACCATGAAACCGCGAATTCCGGTCCGTGCAGAAGCACCAGTCCATTAACGGAGAAATCGCACAACAAAGAACCTCAGTACACAACCTGCCACGACCGCACCGCAGCTAAAATTAGGAAGAAATCAACTAATTAAGCAAACCCCTGGGATTAAAAAAAAAACCCCAAAAGAACAATAATAAGCAAACAGAAACCGATTAAACGGAAAACCCTAGAAATCAAAGTGAAACAATGGGAAAATCAAACTAAAGAATCAACCCACAAAGCAGTTCTGTAGCAGATACGAACTTGCCAAGCAAAAAACAAGCTCGATGCAGAAGTAGAAGCAATAGCAAGCCGAAGCCGAAAGGATCAACAAGGGAAAGAAATCGATAAGTAACAGAAACACCCAACAAAACCAAACCTCGGATCTGAAAGCCAGATTGAACAGATTCTTCGCCTTGTCGAGTCGTTCTTGTTCCCACCACGAACAAAGCTCCGACCAGTGTGACCTTCGCTGCTGAGGAACGGCAACGATATCTACAGTGTTCACGAATCTGCCACTGGGAGCACAGAGCAAGAGGATACGCGACGCGACGAAGAGAGAAGAAGACGAAGGAGAGAGAGAGAGAGATTTATTTCTCTCGGCTTCTGTTGAGAGTTGGAGACTGACAGAAGCTAAAGCTGCCATATCAAACCATAATCTCTCTCACTTAACCCATTTTTTTTTTTATTTTAATTGACAAGAAAATGGAAAACCCAAATTCATATAAATTTTTGTTTCTTTGTTTTTTTACTCTGATTCAAATGTCCTTCTAAAAATTATTTATATTTGGTTAATTGTATCATAATATTTTTTAATTACGTTTATAATAATTCTTGTATTTAAATTCGACACAATTTTTGTAGGAGTCACATGAATATCATTACAAAATTTTAGTCAAATAGGATTACGCAGACACAAAACCACCAACACTAATTATCAAAATTAAGTAAGTTTTAATAAAAGTTTACAACTAAAATTATTCCAAATGTGTTGTTGTGACGTCAAAAGCAGATTTAATCTTTTAAATTTGTAAATAACATTTTTATTTTGAACATAAATCAAATCGAATCGAATTTGATTTGAAAGAAATTTATTGGATATAATTTTTTTAAAATTATAAATAATACAAATATTTTAAAAAATAGTTATTTTAAAATAAATCTAAATCGAAAGAAAGCAACATATAAATGAACAACCTATCTTAAGCGTATCATTTCCGAGCATAATAAAATCTTTTAAAAAAAAAGAAAAATAATTCGGTTATTTTCCCATACGATTTTCTAATTAAGACGGAATGCGATGAGGAATGATGTTTTTAAGTTACAATTAGCTTGTAATGTTGTAATCAATTGGGTCATTATTGTTATTAATTATATTGATGTCGTTTTTTTATTCATTACTAATTGCTTGCAAGCGTGTACTTTTAAATTATGTTTTGATGATGGAATTTTATTTTTATTTTTATTTTTATTTTTTGGTATTGGACTCTCTCTGCCTCTTTTTTGGACCAATTCCACATTGCATCATATATATTCACACTTTGCTTATAAGCCTCTTTTTCCCCCACGAAGGACATTTTCTACATTCTTTCACACATCACATCTAAAAAAAAATTATTAGAATTTGTAAAATGTCGTGAATTATAATGATTTATTTTATAAATTTGAAAATAAATTTATCAAACGAAAAGTTTAGAAATTTTATAGCATTTTATAAATTTAACAATTTTCACAGAATTTATCTTTTTTAATATTATATAATACACATAAATGGTCGATTTATCTGGATAATTAATATAATAAGAAAACATATTATCCACAAAATCTAAAAAAAAAGTGAGTTGAAATTGGATACGAACCAATATTCCAATTTAGATAACAAAATCCACTTTCTATGATTTTCGAATTTAGATTCAAATACCTTTTAATATTTTGTGTAACATATAAATAAGGATTGCCAACACATATTACTAGTCCAATTAAATAAATAGCAGACGCACGAATCGATCTAAATTTTTATGGGGTTTTATATGGTCAATCCAAATTTATTTATGGATATGGCGTGTGTTTAAATACGATGGTAATCAAGATAATGATGCTCATAAGCATGGTTAAAAAGATTTAATTAAATTAGTAGATATGAGACATAAATAAATTGGAGAAACCAAGTTTGACCCAAGTGGGTTGGAGTGGAGAAGGTCTATGATTGACGGAGACTTCCGACTTTTACTATACGACGCCGTTTTCTGCGTCTAACCTCGTGATCCGTCAAACCTTGTTTGTTACGCTTGCGCGTATAGAAAACTGAAGGCCATCCGTCCAAAACGACACAGTTTTGCTAATTTCAGAAAAAAGAAAATTCTCACACACAAAAAAAATAGGGAATGTCGTAAAACCAGTAAACTTTTTAAATTTGGTAAATAAATATATAAATTTCTAATTTCATATAAAAATATATAAATTTTAAAATTTTCACATAATTTCCTCAAAACATTAATCTCAATTGAGTTTTTTCTTAGATATATACGAAAAAATACAAAATTTATGTATTTTTTATATCAAACGAAATTTTTTAAAATTTATGAGTTTTTATATACACAATTAAAAGCTCTAATTTTATCGCAAAAACGACTCGTTGCTTTTTGGAAAACCAAAAATATCTTCTGGAAAAAGAATCTCTCACGAGTGACAGTATTTATATATTAATCTGATTATATACTTGTACATGTGAATTAATTTAAATAATTATAGATAATCTGACTTGAGTAGTCATGTTGACCCAATTAAAAAGGCCCAAAGTAGCCTTTCAGAGGGAGAATAAAAGCACAGAGACAGTGCAGAGAAGTGATGTAATAACATAACAATGGAACAGAACCAAAGCTTCCTGTCCGATACAAAAACACACAACATATATGCCACAAGAGACTCTTTTTTCTCCCTCGTATGCTTTTTCACATTTTTTTTTCCAAGTACGGAAACAGACTTCACCTCCCCAAAGAAAAAAAAAACATCACATGAATCTGCCAAAAAGAATTAAAGGAAAAAAAAAAGACCAAAGAAGAAACACACACTACCCCCCGGGAACTTTGCTAAAAACTGCAGAATAACGGGTGGGTCGTAATAGTAGTAATAGCAGTAGTATATGTATGTACGTATGGAAGGATATTAGAGGACTTGCGAAAGAAAGAAGCCCCCACCTCCCTCTTTTTGGGCTATGAAGTATCGCAAAGGTGACAAGGAGGATCTTGTTGTTGTTGGGTGCACCAATGGTCAGGGACACACATGAAGTGTGTGGACATGAACTTCCTGAACCTCTTCTTGTACTCCTTGGGGCTTATCACCGTCGGCAACACGTTCTTCGGTACGACTAACGACGATTTCACCCACGTCTCGAGCTGCTTGTCCCACGTGTACTGCCTCAGGTAATCTATTATCCCGCACGCTAGCTCCCTCTTCTCCGTGTCCACCCCCACCAGCAACGAGTAGTCCATCACGTTTATCGACTGCAAACACTCAGTTATCAATCGGAGTATCCTTATTTCTATTAGGAGAGACGGATTCTGCTAAAAAAATGGATATATGTCCATGTCTATGGACATTTTCTCTGCAAATAACCATTTCGGGTTTCGGGTCGAATTCGACTATACTAGGGTTCAATTATTTCGGTTTTTGAAAATATACAACTGAATCTGATAAACCGAATGGTTACGATTTTTTTTAAAATCGAAAAACCCTGAACCCAAACAGAACCGAATAAAATGAATGACTGATTTTTTTTTAAAATGAGTATTTTTATCAGTAAAAACTGAACACGAAAATAGGAGAAAAAGAAAACTTACATTCAGGAAGCTGGTGTCATTCCAAACGGCCCTTTGGAGGATACGTTTAGACATGTTGCTGATGTAAAGCGGGGAATTGTTCATGTCGTTGACAAAGTTCTGATCTAACAGAACATCTTCAGCAGTAGTGGTTAGCCGCGCGTGTAGAGCCCCTTTCAGATCATACTGACGGCACTGCTCGTCGTTTTTCTTCTTTGAGATTTAAGCTTTTACTATTTTTATCTTTAGAATCCCCATGAAAACTTGATTTGCTCCACTTGGTACCATCACAACATTCGTCGTCATCGTCATCGATATCAGTAACATCCCCTTCTGATTCATCTTCAGAAATTTCTGCTTCTGGAGGTTCCCAGATGTGAGCATCAAGTTGGTTATTATCATGTTCAAGTTCTTGATCAGATGATCTTACCATATTTTGAACATTATTTTCTTTTGACTCTTGACTATCAGCCTGTGATAATTGCACATCCCTCATAACATCACCATGAATGCTTCTATCACTGATTTCGGTCAAGGTATTGGACGAATGTGTTCTTGATTCTAAACCCTTTACCTTTAATTCCCGTTTTTCCCGTTCTTTGGCTGTCTTATAGTCACCTGCAGGAGGGTAATCCAACCAAAAATCGATATACGAAGTTGAATAAATTTACAAGATTACATTCAATTTGACAAGACTGATAAAATCATTACACAGACATACTATAAAAACGTTATATAGATTTTGTCACGGAATTGTCAAAATAAATCTAATCGCCCGCCTCAACCGAGGAAAATGAAGATCATCATGAGAGGATTACCTGATAGATTCCAAGAACTTTTGCAAGACAGGTCTGGTTGCCCGACTGGTAGGAGCCCTTCATGTATTTAAAGTAGTTATCGGCAAATTTCACGAAGGATTCGTATTCCGTCCTCTTGATCTCCTTAATGATGAACCTGTCGTCCAGTGTTTTAGCAAACACAGCTTTGCTCTTCCCACCCTTTGCATCCCACGGCTTACAACGGCAAAGTGAAGCTATGTAATCCATCTCCGAGGGACAGCAAAGCTCCCTGAGCTCACGGAACTCGTTCGAGTATAAACACACGACCGAGTATTTACACTTTTCGAGCGATTTGATTGATCCGAAAGAGACTTTTCTTCTCAGACCCTTCCTAGGGGGGGCTAGTGGTTCCAGCCGGGTCAAACCATCGAAACTCATGAAACGTGAATCCTCACGAGGGATTGCATGCTGATAATTAACTGAATCTTTATCCAAGAACCCCTCGAGAGAGCCATGTTTAGATCTCGTGAGAGGTAATTTGTTCTCCTCATCGCTGCTATCTCCCGCGCTAGGAGATTTTACTAGTAGGGCTAGTGCACAAGCAATCAGGCTCGAGAGCTCGTCTTCATAATCCGACACAATACTATAATAATCATCTCCCAAAGCTATGTGCAGCCGAGAACTTTCCTCACTGATTATTTGATTCATTGTCTGTAAAACTTCTCGGGCAGAACTGTTAATAGTTTCGGGTTTCGATAAGTATACCTCCTCAAGGTCTTTGATTCCTCTTGACCGGAGCTCTTCAAATGGCAACCAAAACCATTCGTTCATTCTCTGCCGACCTGATATATGTGACCCGTTAGAGACAGCAGCCCGGCTGTCCAAAGATTCTCTAGTAATTGGAATCGTTCTGTCAGCTTCTTCATTATTTTCCAGGCGACCAATAACAGCTGTGTGATCATTGGAATCATGGTATGTATTGAGACCTGAAATCCCCAGAGTTTGCATTTTATCGTCGTCAAGAACATTAGACACTTCGGTCTGATCATCTTGGACAGAAGCACCATAGATTGGAATGTCTTTGCCCTCAGGTTCATTTCTTTCAAAACCTCCATTAGTAGCAGAAGCTTTAGCATTGGTCTCGATTCCAACTGAATCATCCATCTTTGCCGTCAATTCTTGTTCAGTTCTCTCGCTCTCAGCAATTGTAGATATCATCCAATTAGGTAAAGCCATTGAATGCAGGCGACGGTCCCAAACCGAAGCTTGAAGCAGAAGTTCCCACCTCATCCGGTTCATGCCAAGCAGCTTGTGGGAAACATCTCCTGAGCTTTTAGCCTTGTCAAAAGAATTCTTGATATTTTCCTTGTTGGGCAAAGACATGTCAAAAAAGGATGAAACTACATTAGTAAGCTCGCCTGGACAAAGTAAAAATAAATAACAGCAGACACTCATTAAATAGAAACTAAATCGTATTTTTTATACCATACATGGGAAACTTTCTAAAAATAGAAACAGTTTCTAAGGAACAAACCTCAAATTGAGAACGTTCTTCCTTCAACATCTCTTCAACGTCAGATAAGCTTTGATTGTTTGGACTTGAACTAGCGAGATGGGATCTTAATTGCTTCAGGGAACTAGCTACCTCCTCAAACAGCGATATCCCTTTAGTGAATACCTTGAACACCATAATAACGATCATTCACTGCTCAAAGATGTTCCGAAAGCTACACATAAAATTATGTTTGCACCATACAGAAACCAAGAGAGAAAAACAGAAATGCACAAACTTACATTCTGAAATTCTTTCTCAAGCCAACCCGTCTTTACTGAATTGCCAAGCTCCAGCTTTTGTGGTGGTAGAGACACTGTATAAGTTGTGACGGGGGAGTATCTGAACATCGCAACCATGGACCCCAACCTACAGTTGCAAACAAGTTCTCCAGTTATCTGAATCCAGTCCTCAACAATTATCCTTGTCAAAAGATTGATTTGGAGAAATTTTCTAAAGGCATATGAAGACATAGTGGACAATACCCAAAGAAGTGAAGGAAGTCCCTTTCGAAAGAGTGACCACAGCTAGACGTTCTACTCAGCAAACTTTGCTCAGAAAAGCTGAGCTCCAAGAACTTTCCAAATGACAGGCTACGTGCGGCAGTAGATATCAGCACTCTTTTTGTAGAATTTGGGATCCCATCCTTCGTTTTACACTTGCAACAACGACTCCACATCCAAAGTTGTCCTTTCGCCTCACCAGGCAAACTTCTTTCACTGGGAAGTCGTTTTATCTGAATTGTTAGTTGCTTGCTGTGATGGGCATAGTAGTAAACATGCGCTTCTGGTAATTCCTCACATGTATTGCATTGGCTTCCCTGCATTAAAATGCTCATCAATCAGCGCTCAGCTTCTTATTATGCAAGAGACTAAGGAATTGCGCAAGAAAAAATGAAAAAGACATTTAACTATAAGGGTTAAGAAGAATTGACAAAAAAGAGAGATCAAACCTGATTAAACATGTCTCGCAAGAACTTCCCCAGAGGAACATCAAAGTTCTTGTAAAACATTATATGAGAAAAGTGGTTCTGGTCGCAGATTATCCCTTTAAGGGCATTCCTCCTTGACACTAAGACCAATATACTCTGAGAGTCTAAGGCAGTCGTCTCAGTATCCATCTTGGCCTGTTCTCCATTTCTGCCATCTATCTTTGCATCGACAGGAACTCCAGAGTCAACTAACAAATGCTGCTCTTTTGCATCCTTGGCCACAGTATCTTCAGCAGTATCCTTTATAGCTTCAAAATCACAATTATCTGATATACCAACATCCCTAGATGCTGGAACCACTTCTGGATTCTCAACCAAACCAAAATACCTAGATAGAGATCTAGAAGGCACACGTTCCTCGAAAGCCTTCTTTATTGAGGCAGACAGAGATGAAAACCCAACAAAAACAGCAGGATTATATGGTTCATAAGAGAAAACAGAGTCTCCATTTGATTCCAAGGTTTCAGCTTTATTGCCATTTGTATTCCCATTGGCATATGAACTCTGCTCGTGGAATCCATTAGCAATAGGGATATCAATTTCTGTTGAGCCAGATTCAGCAGTGGAGTCATCAATACCAGATCCTGATAGTTTATCCGTTTCTGTAATAGAGAACTTCTTTTCTGATGCTGCATCTGTTACTCCAGTAGGAGGCACAGTAGAGAGCATTGTTTGCTGGTCAACGAGGAAAGACGTCTCCAGGGTTAAATGATATGCCAGGGCAACTGCACATTGAACCACTTCTTTAACCCTTTTCAATTCGTCACTGTGGCTTCCTTTAAGCAAAATCTGAAACATAATACACACACCATCAGAACCTGAGGACTATGGACCCTTAGACTTTTTAAACTGTGGAACTCTCCAAGATAGAAAATCTGGGAAAGAAAGAGACAAAGTGTTAGATCGAGATCTTATGGACTTTTTAAACCGTGGTCCCATAGACATTTACACAGAGATGCAGTCACCGAGATATCTAAATGATACTATATCACTAAAGTAAGGAGATCATCGATCCTGTAGCAGCATCTTTGATGCTTCCAGCATGATTGTTTTTATCCATAAATAATTTATGAACTCACCGTGCAACCTAGTCGAGTAGGGCATCCCTCAAGAAACATCAACGTTTTACTTGGCTTCTTTCCACCTTCACCAGCAACATTATGTTCCTCGACAATTTTCTCAATACGTAAAGAGTCACAATGCTTAAGCTTCTGGCTAGAGAGAGTATCAAACGAGACAATTGGTGAGCCTGTACAACGAGCAATTCTCTGTAGACGGTGGAGCTTCATGTCAAACACCAGTGTGATCCCTTTGCCAAGAATAGACTCTTGAACATCACGAGAAACAGATTTCTCCACCAGAATAACATTAGGGTGGCAACCTTCTATCATATCAACAACAGGCTTGACATAATCCTTGTCCTGTTAGGAAGGAATAATCAGAAAAGGAAACAGAGGAAGCTCGTGTGATTGTGATCAGTAGAACATGTAACAACCGTACCTGTACCATCGATTTAAAAGAAGATAATCCACTTGTGGACTGACCCAGTACACCTTGGACCAGCAAAATTCTAGGACGCTCATACTTTGTTGGCATGTGTTTATGTGCGGCATGTTTTTTGAAAACCAAGCCTCTGAAAACTCGGCTGCAACATTATGGAATTATTAGGGACGTATAGAATATGGGTAAAAAAAAAGAAACATACGAAATTTTAATAGAATGGACTACAAGCATTGCAAAGCCTTAAAAAAGGATAGCTCGGTACACAAAGCATCCCGCTGAGCACGAATTCCATCACAAGGGTGCATTGTATGCACAGCTTACCTTGAACAATATTCTGCGAAAGCTTAAACATATGGAAAAATATCTAATTTATCACCCTAGAGTAAAATAAGCAAATTCTGTCTGATTCATGCCAAATCAAGAGTAGGCAATGGGTGCTACAGCCAGAGAGCAGCGTACAACATGAAAAGTTGCAGTAAAATGGCTGCTGGTTATATCTGGTAGAGACATATTCAGGGAAGCACGGTATAAGGAAAACTTCAAGGAGACAGATTACCTATCACTGGGAGAACCAGTTGCAAGGCATTTCACTTTGATATACGCATTTGGATCAACTGGTTTTCCATCAATAACTGCCTTTAACAGTGAAGCAGCCTCCCAGGATAACCCAGTAACTATGTCAATCCAATTCTCACCAAATTCTGTTGATGACGAAACATCCAGAGACTTGAGAAGTTGACTCACAAAGACCCTGAACTTTCTATTTATATCCTCTTGCACTGCTCGTCGTTTTTCTTCTTTGAGATTTAAGCTTTTACTATTTTTATCTTTAGAATCCCCATGAAAACTTGATTTGCTCCACTTGGTACCATCACAACATTCGTCGTCATCGTCATCGATATCAGTAACATCCCCTTCTGATTCATCTTCAGAAATTTCTGCTTCTGGAGGTTCCCAGATGTGAGCATCAAGTTGGTTATTATCATGTTCAAGTTCTTGATCAGATGATCTTACCATATTTTGAACATTATTTTCTTTTGACTCTTGACTATCAGCCTGTGATAATTGCACATCCCTCATAACATCACCATGAATGCTTCTATCACTGATTTCGGTCAAGGTATTGGACGAATGTGTTCTTGATTCTAAACCCTTTACCTTTAATTCCCGTTTCCGGTTCTCAGTAGAGTCCATATCCTCTTGAGTGCTACGGCTTGAACATTCCTCTTCATTACCCCTGCAAGACAGAGAGAAAGCATCATTTATACTATTACTATGACATCCACAGGAATCGATAATCCAAAGGGGATCAGACCTACCTATCATAAGGGATTCCATCCACCGAAAAATCACCTGAGAAAAAATTTGAAAAGGACTCATTAGTTAAACATTACAGGGCTCTCTCATCCTGAATATAACACATAAACTAAACAGAACAAAACAGATAAAATAACATATACTTGAGGAATTTTATTAAAAAAAACATATACTTGAGGAAGATCGTTCACTGCTCGAGAAGGAACTTGTTGGTGTTATCGATGGGGTCACTGCACGATTCATACCCTTCTGCCTTAGCAATTGACTCTCCTGCATCTCGCGGCAAAATCTACAAGACTCAGAAAAATGTTCACCCTCCGATTTCACAGGATTTCTGTTCTCTGCTCTATCATCCTCCGACCCACCAAGTTCGCCCCCACAATAGTGGCACATGCTACAACTCGGCAGCCCAAGATTTGCCTAGTAACTCGTATCCAATAGACAAAGAAGATAAACAAAAGCCACTTATCTGCAACAAACGAAAACGCTAGAATGAACATCATCTACAAAGACAAATAATTGAATCGAAGGAAAAGTTAAAGAAAATCATCTAAAAGGTTAGACACATATAAGAACCATAGACCAATATAAGATCTACGCCGTCCTGAATCTAAAAAAGAACATAATCCCTTCAGATGTTGCAGTTACTGAGAACAACAAAACCATGATTAATCATACACCGAACTAGAAATCACCAATCCGAAAATCGAAGAACGCGAAGGAACTCTCCAGAACAAGACAACCAATTCGGACAGGAATTCAAAGTGAGATCGATTCAAATCACCATAACCGATAATTATCGCGATTTCGAGGAAAACGATAACAAAACCACAGATCATACGTTAAAGTGCGCCGAATTTCCGAATCCGAAGCCAAAACCAAAAAAAAAAGGAAAAGAAGAAGAGAAAAGCAAGAAACCGAAAGATGGAAAGAAGGAATGACTTACCGCCGAAGCAGAAAACTCCAAAGGAAACTGGGCAACACAGGAACTTCAAGAAATCACAAAACCCTAGCCATTTCCAGATTCTTCCGTACAAGAGAGAGTTATTTCCCCTTTCTAGAGAGAGGAGCGACGAACAACGGAGGAGTCCACACGAAGAGCAGGCGGAGGAGAGAGAGAGGACGAAGTTTGAAGAAGAGAGGAGAGAATATTATATTTAAAATAGTGGGGTCCACTTGATATCCACACCCGTTGATAATTTCTCGGCTGTCTTTTTTTTTTCGCTTTTGAAATTTGTTCAATTACTAATAATAATAAAAATTATTTATTTTATTTGCCTCTTTTTTTTATAGTTATTATATAATAATGTGACGGTTGTGTCCGGATACGGTGAAGCCACATATGGTGCAAGGCATGGAGATTCCAAATACATCGAGAAATACCAAAAATAAATGGATGACAAAATATTTGATATTTAATATAAATAATCTCCATTGATGCGCATGACGGAAAGCATTACATTTAGCCACAAAATAGCATGACCATAACAAACTAAACTAGGTCAAATTCGAGGAAAAAAAATTAGAATTTTTTATTATCATTCATATAATTTTTCTTATATATTTTTCAAAAATAATATTTATAATTTCAAGTGGAACGGTCTCAAATACTTTCAAAAGTTTATATATAATATAGAAAATGACCTAGAAAAGTTCTTAATTATATATATAAACAATTATTTAATGCAGGTTGGATTATTAACTTCATTGGGAGCCCCAAAATTGGTTTTGGATTAATGTGGCGCCCAAAATAAATACGTAAGGGTATTAACTTTTAGATTATTTAATAAAATTTTTTAAATTAATTTCAATATTCAGATTTATATTAACTTTTAGAAAAGGATGATTAGCTAAAATTTGGTATTTTATTGGATCAATCATAAATTTCTTTGATTTGTGTAAACAGATAATAATAGGGGAAAACGACCATGATCCACCAGGGGACGTGGCGTCGTAGCTGGAACCGTAAGATCATTTACACGTGGCGACTTTGGCGCGTTCCCATGGATCGACGGTCTAGAAAGAGCTGAAGGCGGGGGAAGTAGAACACGACAGGACTGTGAACATGACACGTGGCATACCGAGGGTTCGACGCCGTTGTACATGTGGCCTTGTATTGGTTCGCATTTTAGACGCAACGCAATAATTGCAATTTCATGGTTTACTGTCTTTGAAACATAATTTATATATATATATATATATATATATATATATGTGTGTGTGTGTGTGTTATCAAATCAAGACCTTATGATTGGCTTTTGAACTATATAGATTTTAGAAAATAATACACACGTACTCTATATATATATTATGTAAGTTTGGATTTTTTTTTTTGAAATATTGAATTATTTTATCTTGTATAATATCCTTCATGATTGATGCTGGTCAAAGAACAAAATATTGAATTTTGAAAAAAAGAATGGAAAAATTGGACATGGATTTGATTTAAAGGATACATCTCCAATCAAATAATTAGTATTAGACACACTTTGAGACGACCTTTCTCAATTTCATGAGGATTATTCTTATGACATAACCAAATTTCAAAATTGATTTCATTTAGTTCCATTTATATATTTTTTATAATTTGATTTTTGGTCACTTCTACATTATTTATAGTTGTTATCGATTTAATTATAAAATTATTTTATTTTTAAATCATGTCTAGTTTGATATATTTAATTAGGCACAGTTAGGCTTTCTAAAATCTATTAGACGCCTAATGTCCACATGAATTATCAAATATTTCAAATGAAAAAATGTGACAAAATTTCAATCGTGATATATCAAATCGTCTAAATTATAATGAATAACGAAATACATTTATATCTAAACATCAGTTATCAATTAAGTAAATGGTGGGTACAATATCGTGCATCTACAACACGCTTATGCTAATAGTAAAATATTTGGAAAGTAATCTTGGTGTTGTAGTATAAATATCATATATTACTTTGGATTATATATTGTTTTATGTGTCTTAGAAAAAAAAAAAAGATTAAATGAGAGTAAAAGTTTTTCCAAACATTGTTATATTTCGAGATTAGTTTATTTATTAAATATATTTTTTGAAAAAATGTTCATTCCTATTTCAAGATTTATCTACACTATGTTTGTTCATTTATATTCTTTTTTTACCTTAAATTATTTTTGAACCTTTTTCCTAACAATTTTATGAATAAATAATAAATAATTCAATAAATGAAAACTAGACTATAATATGTCAACATCTTATATATATATATATATACATATATGCGCAAGTGATATGAAGTATTAAATAGTTAAAAATGTTTGTAATGAGAAACAGTTTTTGAGGTAGAAAAAAATAAATGAATTGATTAAAATCGGACAACACCAGGAATAATAAATGCCATAATATACGTGCGCAGACGGAAAAAAATAAGAAAAAGGGAACATATAAATAAATAATTAATTATGAAGGTTTCATGCAAAATTGGTTCGAAACCTAACCTTGTTAGGTTAGACTTTGTAGAAGGTGACTGATTTGATCATTTTATCATTTTTATAGTTCATTATATATTTTAGTTTTTTACAAAAATATATTATAATAGGCTATATATATAGTTCACAAAAATTTATTTTTTATTTTTCCAATTTACATCCCAAATTATTTTTTTGAATATTTTTTTTTGTTACGATGAAAAACCTCTATCCTACAATCTTTCGGATCAGACATCGGACACCGCAACGCCTCTCAATCCATGGGCCGGATGAGAAGGCATCAGGACAGCATCGCGGACCTGAGAAAACTTATCGCTCTGTGCAGTAGCCGGCAAACCACGCAGAGCAGGTAAACCAGCCTCGTAAAGCTGACCGGCTCAATGGGAGTTCCATATCTGAGATTCGAACCCACAACCTCATAGAAGAGGAAGTTGTCATTAACCACTAGGTCGGGAGATTTTCCTTATTTTTCTGAATATTTCTTTCAATATATTTACGTTTGTTTCACTATTCTAAAGTTAACTGTTAAGGTATTTCAAACTAAACATTTTTTTATTTGTTGTTTAAAAATATATTCTGACTTTTTAAAATCAAGAATTTAGGCTAATTCATTATTATTTTTTAAAAATAGAAAGATCTCGTTAAACTGAAGCAGAAAATTAGGCTATAACATATTGTATTTTTCATTTTTTTTTGTTCGGCAATATCCAAATAAAAAATTGTTTGGCAACGTCCATAAATATCAATTGCTAAATATATACACATTTAGATACGAAATCTGACTTTTTAAAGGAGTACACTTTTAGATACGAAAAAAATTGAAGACAAATATAACATTCTGAATAGTTACCACTTCTTCTTCGTTATATTTATTATTTACAAATTTTTTAGTAAGAAATATATTTTTATATAAAAAATATATTAAACATTACCAAGTTGCAGTATAATAAATTTAAAAAAGAAAATCATTACTAGGACGAATAACGAGTTTGTCAAGTCACAAGATCAAACAAAGAGATAATGAAAGCCAAAACCTAAGATGGTAGGTTAAATGCCTTTTATCTAATTACTTGACTTTAATTATGATTTAAGAATTCTCCAAGTTGCATCCCTTTATTTAATTTCATTGACTTTTGACCCCATCCCAAAATATCAAAATCTCCCCTTTCATTTTCAAAAAAAAAAACCATATATTTGTCATTGAGATAAAACAATAAGTAGTAATAATAATATTTATTGTGAAATTGAGAATTCTTCAACATAAAGTATAAAATTTTCCTTATGTTCCATTCTTATTAGATTCTTTTTAAAATGTTGAATTGTTTATAAATAGAGAAAAATTCTTAGTCATTATTCCAAAAAAATATATATTTATAAAGACAGCTCTTTTTTTCATTTTTTTTGTTTGCTGTAAAAGCTCCAAGTTATTATTAATTTATTGATACCAAATTGTTTTTTTTTTAAAATCAAATTTAGTAGAAATTTCCGAAAACTTTTGACTTTTCAGTTTTCACGGCACAATTCGGTTGGTCGTCGACACGCATTCGAGACTACGAAAGCCCAACATCAATTTAAAACGTGGGCCCACGGCCCAAATGACCTCGCCGCCAAGACTGATTTAACAAATTAATTAAACAAGCCACACGATAGGCTAAAGAAATTATTAAGACCCTACGATTAAATCAGAAACGGACGGTGGCGATTCTAAGCTCGGTAAGGCACGTGAACGTGATAGTCACGTTCACGTGTAGATGACGATGCTGCAAAAACTCTAAATTCTAAAACTAAAATAATAAACCAAAAAAATATCTAAATATTAAAACCTAAATTTCAAATCCAGATTATAACAGAGATTAACCAAAACAATTCGAGAGACATTATATTTTAAAGTCTAAAAATTTAGCCTTAAAATTAGATTGGCTCATGAAACAAAAAACAGGTAGAAAGAATACAAAAGATAAAAAAAAATAGATATCACGAAACAGAGAAAAATAATTAATATATATATATCTGAAAAGTCAAATTTAAAACCGAATCACACGGCTAACTTTTAATATATTGCAATTATAATGTGGAGTCGTTTGGTTGAGTTTGAAATTCAGCTTCCAAACCGGTTTGGTTAGGTACGAGTTGAATTGGGTTCGATTTATCTTTTGAGTTTCGTGAAGTCTGCAGATGGAATAGTGAGCCACACCTCGAGGTCGGCATGCCATTGAAAAGGAAGCACGTGACGGTGTCGGGTGGGTATTGCCACTAGCTCGATCGGACAAGATCCAAGAGCTTCAGATCACGCCGACGGGTGTATCAGTTCCAACAGAAGAGAGAGGGGAAGATGTTTACCTCTGGAAGCACTCTTAAGCCTCCGTCCCAATCAGCAAAAACATGGCAGTTGGTCCGCAGGCCAACGCGCAGGTAACTTGGTACGAACCGCCTTGGTTCAAGAAAGGAGTTCCTAGACTCGGTTTCATCCAATGGATGGCTCGTCTGGAGACCGAGACCGACTTCGGCAATGGGGGATCCAAGCCGTGATGTATCTTATAAAGGACTTCAAAGGCAACGGCTTTGTCGTGCTTGGCCTCACCCGTGATGGATACTCGGGACTATCGTTCTCTCTTCGTCATTGATTCTTAGCGTATATTGATCCCGACAAGTGGCCGGTTGCTTGGTTATGAAAGATTTGGATAACTTATCCCTGTTTGTGGATGGTCACAATACTTACAGATTAATGCGATGCGACCCAACATGGTCCATGATGATCAGCTTTGGTATTTCCCGACCACGGCCCTGATGTAGTCCGTGGATCACGTGAGGGACGATAACCCGCAACCACGGCTACAGCCATAATCTTGTCAGGTTTCTGCAGTTGAATTGGACTATGAGTTTCTTTGGCCGTCCTTAATTGTTGATTACGTTCCTGCTTCTCTTTGTTGCTTTTGTCTTGGATTTCATGCTTCTGTTTTTTCATGGGTGAAACCAAAGTATTCTTATCTCCCCTGTCTCGGATTAGTCCACGTGGCGGCTCCTCGTCTCCCTATCCTTCCGAAAACTACTCGAGATATACCATCCATTCTCCACCGTCGATCGTCCCAGGCCCGAATATCTCAACCGTTGGTTTTTCGTTCACCACAACAACCTTACCATCTTCCCCACCTCCTCTAGTCGTCGAGAAACCACAGACTCTCTCTCTCCGACTCCAATGGCGTCTCTCCAGCAAACCCTAGTTTCTATGCAATCCAAGCTCCCACCGTCGTCAGACCGAATTCTGAGGTCCCTCCCGCTTCGGAAGTCCTTCCCGCTCCGAATCGGACGCGGAGGCGGCGCCGCCGGAGCGAGGATGGTCGCGACGGCGGCTGGAAGCTACGCGACGGCTCTCGCCGACGTGGCGAAATCGAACAACACTCTGGATTCGACGAGCGCCGACGTGGAGAAGATCGAGAAGGTCTTCTCGGACCAGCAGGTCGTAGAGTTCTTCGCGAATCCGACGGTTACCGTGGAGAAGAAGCGGGAAGTCCTCGACGAGATTGCGAAATCATCGTCGCTGCAGCCTCACACGGAGAATTTCCTGAACATCCTGGTCGATGCGAACCGGATCGAGATGGTGAGCGAGATCGTGAAGGAGTTCGAGGCGGTGTACAACAAGCTGACGGACACGGAGCTGGCGGTGGTGAGCTCGGTGGTGAAGCTGGAGCCGCCGCAGTTGGCGCAGATAGCGAAGCAGGTGCAGAAGCTGACGGGGGCGAGGAACGTGAGGATCAAGACGGTGATCGACCCTGAGCTCGTGGCTGGGTTCACGATCAGGTACGGCAACTCTGGGTCGAAGCTGATCGACATGAGCGTGAAGAAGCAGCTCGAGGACATCGCCGCTCAGCTCGACCTCGGCGACATCCAATTAGCATCCTGAGTCTTGTATCATTCGAATCTAAATTCCCCTTTTTTTGTGCAATTCAATCTCAAATTCTTTTCTTTCTCCAGCTAAAAGTGCTGTTACAAATCCCTAACTTTCCCCAAAATTATTTTCATAGAATTATATATGTACATATTAATTTTATATAATTGAAGTGGCCGTAAAATAGCAATTATGAAAGGTTGGTCCATCCATGTCATTTTGGAGTGTAAATCACTAAAATATACCAAACATATTGGCAGTAATTTATGGGGATACACCAATCCGAAAGATCATATTAGCTTTAATGAAACCGTGTAATTATAATTGTAATGTCGTAATTGATTCTAAATACAGTTGCAATTGATTCTAAATGATGTGGCAAAAAATATATCTAATTGTTTACAAGATTTTTAATTATTATACGATCGTAAATATTTCTTTTTTTAGTCGTATGCTAGTTATATAACCGTCGTAATAAAATGTAAAAATATGAAAGAAATGTTATTTCGGATTTTTTAAACCAAAAGTGGTATAGAATTGAAAAAAAAAATTATTTTTTTTTGTTGTGTACCGCTGCGACACCTTTGGTAGATACGAGTGATTTTTCCCATCTTGGAACCAATGATATAATCAATTGACTTTTTCTAAATTAAAGGTGCATAGCATTAATGGTTCAAATCCGATATATTCGATAATAGATATTTTTTTTGTTGACAACGAAAATACTCTAAATAGTAAATATTTTATCGATAAAATCTGAATTGAATAAAAAAACATAAAGCTGAATTGAGTTTTATATAAAGATTTAGGGTATAATTTCTTAAGAAAGGATATTGGAATTTGGATAGATGTGATCAGGGCAAATAGGAAGATGTGTAGCCCAAGTACGAGATTGGGCCACGAATCAGCCCACTTACCACCGACGTGGTTTCGTTGTCACCTAAACCTTATTGGTTGAATAAATTATCTAATCAACCGTAACATTGATTATTTTAAAATATAAAAAAATTAAAAATAATTATGAACCAATTCTGAAGATTTTTTTTTCCTCGTATCCTTCGCTGAGAAGCAAGATCCCTGCAAGTTTCCAGCTTCGTCCGATAATCTTAATTGAGTCCCCAACCAAGGGTATAAATAATGTTGAGTTGATACGCGCTTTGATCGATCCGGTTCTTTTGTCTGATTCGATCAATCATCGTCGGGGATCATGTCGATGCTCGATTCCTTCTTCAACAAGGGCTTCAAAGCTGCAAAATGGTACTCTCGTATTCATTCTGTTCTATCTTCTCTTTTGGATTTTGAAATTCGGGTCTGGCAAAAGAATGTGTTCTGATTCGGTTTGTGTAGAATTCTACGCGTCACTGAACGTTTTGAAAGAATCCTGGGAAGGTTATTTGGCTTAATCTTGGATTAGATTGCTCGCACTGTCTTCGACCTCTTCATGATTTCGGCGTTTCATCTCTGCTAACCAGACAATATCTCATTCTGGGTTTTGTAATAATTGGCAGTAAAACCTTGCTCAAGTTAACGACGCCTCGGATAAAGCTGCTTCGGAACAGAAGAGAAGTCCAGATAAAGCAGATGCGCCGCGAAATCGCTAAGCTCCTCGAGACTGGTCAGGAAGCCACTGCTCGGATTAGGGTTTGCTTCGTTGCCTCCATTGCCTCTTAGCTCCATTAACTGTTTGGCAAAGCTCCTAAATTTTTCAAGTTTTGTCGCAGGTGGAGCATATTGTGAGGGAAGAGAAGATGATGGCTGCTCAAGAGATTATTGAGCTCTTCTGTGAGCTAATGGCTGTCCGTCTCCCGATCATTGAATCACAAAGGTTATACATTCTTGGCATGTTTGTTCATATGGAAGTTCCTTGCTTGGTTCTGTCTGTTCATGATTCCTCTTTTTAGTTGTTGAATGAGAAAGCAAATCTTGAACTTCGTAATAATCCATTTGGTTTTACCATTTTGTTTGTTGATCTTCTGCTCCAATATTGTCTGAAGAAGCAAATTCATAACCGTAGACCACTTTTTGTCTTGCAATTTTTAGGTTATATGTCACAGTAATTTGATATTCTTTTACAATACATGAAAGACCCGGGTTGATATTCCATTTTCTGGGGAGGTTCTTCTGCTCCATTGTTGACCAGGAAATCGAGATTTGAGCTTTGACATCTATTCTGATCCGAATCTTGTAGGGAATGTCCATTAGATTTAAAAGAAGCAATATCAAGTGTATGTTTTGCTGCACCAAGGTGTGCTGACTTGCCAGAGTTGCAGCAGGTCCAGATGTTATTTGTTTCCAAATATGGCAAGGAATTTGTTGCAGCTGCCACTGAGCTTAGACCGGATTGTGGTGTTAATCGTAAGGTATGTCCAAAGCTCATTAGCGGTGAATGTGCATTGTTGATACAATAATTACAATCAAATAGATTGAATTAGGCAATGAAAAAATAATCCATATGAAATCCTTTACTTTGGCATCTGCAGGTCATTACGAATGATTATGCATTCATAAAATTAGATCTAATCAATTTTCTAGATCTGTATCTAGAGATATAGTGGCAAATTGTTTGTTTGATATTATATACTTAGCTTCTATATTGTAAGAAAGACTAAACCAAAATAGTTTGGACTTAATCACTAAGATTCATCTTTTAGTTTGAAGTGCCGCTTGGCTCAACGGTGAGCTCACTTGCCGTGGGGTCTGAGGTCGTGGGTTCAAATCAGCCTCTCTATATAAAAATAGGGTAAGGCTGCCTAGTATATTCCCTTCCCAGTACCCCACCAGGTGGAGACTCGAATTGGGTTGGTCCTCTTCATCTTTTAGTGTGGTTTAATCACGAAATGTTCCTTCTTTGGGTTGCTGTTTTCATTCGTCATTTACGATTACAGTTGGTGGAATTGCTGTCTGTATGTGCACCTTCACCGGAAACTAAACTGAAACTTCTCAAGGATATCGCAGAAGAACATGAGCTTGATTGGAACCCTTCTGCTACAGAAACCGAGTTCTTCAAATCTCATGACGATCTCCTGGTAGGTATATGTGATGTGCAATATATGTATATGAAACTGAACTAATCAAACACTGAATCTGCAGTTCTGATTGTGGATATTTAGATCCATGGTACCCTCCTCTCTGCGTGTATGTATGTACATATATACTGAGCTCAGTTTCTTGGCCACCCATGCTTCCCTCGTGAACCTGGGGAAAACAATATGCCGCCTTGAGTGTATTTTATCTCGTCTCTATCTCCTAAATTGTCTTCATTTTTTTCTCAGGATGGGCCAAAGCAATTTGGTGGCGGCTCTACGCTGCCATTACCGAAGGAGGAACACGATGAAGGATCATATTCTGCACAGTTTGCAGCGCAAAAGGAGAAATCGGATTCTGATTCTGACCTTGATACTTTGGAATTTCCTGAGGTTCCAAATGTTGTTCTGCGGCCAAATCCAGGTGCAGCCCCGATTGCGCAATCTGCAGTATCCCGAAGCCCTGAAAACGTACAAGAGTCAGCAAAACATGCTGACGGTGATGAACATACCTCTGAGGACTTGCCTTTTGAGTCGGAGATTACAGCCGAGGCTAAATCAAACTCTAGCCGAGATGAATCTCCCAAAAAATCAAGCAAAAAAATGCCAGAGGAACAGCAGTTTTCGCCTTTTGTTTCTCCACCATCACATGTCCCAGAGTCGGATCCTGTAAAGTGGAGTGATTATTCAGCACCATCTCTGGGCTCAGAAACCTTCTCTGCGAAAGAGAGTCTTTCTCCACCAGATGTTCCGAGAACGAAACCCGACATGGACTTGCAGGATGTACTGGCAGCCGCTCAGATCGCGGCTGAGACTGCAGAACGTGCAGCAGCAGCCGCCCGTTCGGCTGCGAGTCTTGCTCAGCTTAGAATCGCCGAACTTACCAAGAACACCGACCATTCTACTGAGAAGAACCAATTTCAGGGTGACAAAACCCCGGAAACACCGAGCTGTGGAAAACCGCATTTGGATCATCAGAACTCCTCGACGAGCAGCTCTGGCGATTTCCCACAGTTACCCCAGAGACTGCCTTCGATGGAAGATGATCCCTACTTCTCATACCCTAATCTGTTCACGTCACAGAACTCAGGCCGTTCATCTGATTCAAGATCTCCCCGTGATTCTTAATTCTTGTGTAGTGTAATACTTCCCCTGTATTACCAGATATTTCAGTTTTACTGTTCTTTCACTCTTGCAAAGAACAATGAGTTTGATGTCTCTTGAATGTTTTTTCTTAGTAAAATTCACATGTTGTATTTTATAGAACTGTTGAGAGTGGTAATGCACGTAGTTTAATGTAAGGTTTGCTCAAAATATCCTCCCGTCTGTTATGTTGATTTCAATTTATATACTTCGACAATTGTGACAATGTGATCAGAATTATATTTTATGCATACGATATTTGTTAAATATATGGTGATTATACTAATTTATCATATTCATCCTGTTACTAATAATTTGATAAAATTATTATAAATTTAATATTATATACTGTCATGTAATCAAAATTATAATTAGAAGAGAGAGAGAGTACATGATGTAATTTTTTTTAAAAAAAATCTACATATATACCATGATTTTTTTTCCGTAAACATCTACTCCCTGATTTTACACCATGGCTGAAGAAATGCAAATTATCATGAATTTTTTATGAATCAAATCTAAAACAAAAACGGGCTAATGCCCTAAATCTTGTCAGTAGGAGTCCCGCTTTGGGGTGCATTTGCATTCGAACACGAAGACAGATTTCCAGCAGCTTATATGCAGATAATGTAATGAATACACAGACAAAGATATGCTTACACGACATTTCATCATCAACTATTTCCTCGTGAAATCATGGAAAGAAGAGAAGAAAAAACCCTAAATCTAAAAAATAAACAAAAAATTCAGTGACCTTTTTTTTTCCTCCTCATCTTTTCCTCGCCTCTGTGGTTGATTGGACATAAAAAAGTCTCATCTCGGACCAGACAACTCAACAGCATGAAGATTCTCTGTGGAATCAACGATCCAATCCGAACCAGGATGCGGGGCCAGTTCCACTTCTTGTCTCAGAACCTCCACTTTCTGCCACTCGTCCCATTTCTCGGCCAGCCCGTCCCCTTCCAGCATCCGTACAACTTCCGACATCTTCGGCCTGTCCATTGGCGAGCTCTGTGTGCAGAGAAGTGCCACCTGGATGAGCTGTTCTACTTCTGTTTCTGTGTAGTTGTTCTGCAGATCAGGATCCACCAGCATTTCCAGTTTCCTCTCCTTTAATAGGCTTTTCACCTGTTAAATTCCATGAACAGAGATCAAAGTTTGCAACTTTTTCCTGGTTGAGATCTGAATTTTCATCAAAGTTTCCAGCTTTCTGTGTTTTCTCTTTTACCCAATCCAGAAGCATAACGTCGTCGTCGTTCGCCAGTCTCGCCAGATCGAACGCCCTCTGACCGGTGATCAGCTCGAGAAGCATGATACCATACCCGAAAACGTCGGTCTTCTCCGACGATTTTCCGGTGGAGAGATACTCCGGGGCTATGTGCCCGATCGTTCCACGCACCGCGGTGGTCACGTGTGTGTCTTTGTAGTCCATCAGCTTGGCCAGCCCAAAATCGCCAACCACTGCCTCGAATTCCTCGTCCAAGAGAATGTTCGCCGCTTTCACATCGCGGTGAATGATTTTCGGGTCACAGTGATCATGTAAGTAAGACAGGCCCCTGGCCGACCCTAACGCGATCCGCTTTCTTGTTGGCCAATCTAGAGGTGGCTGTGACTCTGAACGTTCTGCAACAAGACAAGACAGAATCGCTCGTTTACACCGCGAAAAACAGAATCGAATCCAGGACCGATCAAGAAATCATGGATACCTCTTAAGCACGATGCGACGCTTCCATTAGCCATATAAGGGTAGACGAGAAGACGCTCAGTCGGTGTCATGCAGAAGCCACGTAACCTCAGTAGATTCCTATGAACCGCCATACTTATCATCTCGACCTCAGTCTGAAACTGAAGCTCGCCGCCGGGAGTACGCTCTTCTTTGAGCCGTTTCACGGCAACCAATGATCCGTCGGCAAGGCGGCCTTTGTACACTTTCCCAAACCCGCCTCGGCCCAAGATGTTCTTGTTGCTGAAACCATCGGTCGCAACTTGCAGTTCTCGCAGAGAGAACCGTTTGAGCTGACCCAGATGAACTTCAGGATCCTCCTCGGCTGTAATCATGAAACCCGGAAAGGCAAATGAGAAAACTTTTTCGTCCTCGGAAACAAAGTATTCGTTTTTTGGATTCTGAAAATGCGGAGATGGACACTAACCAGGTACGTCGAAGAAGAATTCTTGAGGCTTTCTTCTGCGCCACCAAGCAAACGCTAAAGCAGGGGCGGCAAAAAGCAGAGCAGCACCCGCAGCAACTCCTCCGGCAATCGCTCCCATGGAACTATATCCAGCTGAAAAGTTTGGTATACCAAAGGAAATCGAAATGAAAAAATGCACACCGAGACAAGTTTTTCGTTCTGATCAAGAGCTTTAAACGCCATCAAAAGCATGCAAAAAAAAGTATGAAACTCGCAAATTCTCCTGAAAGCAAGAATTATTCGATCTCTTCTGAATAATGAGTGAATGTAAAGTTTAGAGCTTTGCGTTCAACTCGTTCTATTTACCTGGTGTAGGAACAGGAGGAGGCGGTATAAATGGCGGTGGAGGAGAAAATGGAGGAGATCCAGGGCAGGGACGACTGGTAACCGGACCACAGAGATCCAAGTTGTTTGCAAAACTGTATAGAAGAACTGACTTCGTAAATCTAAACCATTAAGATATGTAATGAATCTTTCAAGACATGAACTCCCATCATCACAGTGATGGATTCAAGTATGATTTCTTCTACATTCATCTTTAGTTTTCTCGATGATTTAAACGTTATGTTTCCGAAATGAAGTTTTCTAGGCTATGAATGCCATCAGAATCAGACCTGATAGGAGTGAAGAGCGAGAAGGAGCCATTGTCGGGAACAGATCCAGAAAGACGGTTATTTGATAGATCCCTGAATTCCACGAGAGAGCAAGAAAATCCGGTTGAGATCTTCAAAAGAACACGGGGAGAGGAATGGAGTCAACGGACCGGATAATACTCACAATACTTGAAGGGTTGAGATATTCGTCAATGACATGGGAATCGGCCCGCTAAGACTGTTATTGTTGAGCCGACTATCCTTGCAACAAAATTTTCACACCATACCATACCATACGTATTAAATCAAGAGCCTCCAAATAAATATCCTAGAGATATCGATAATCTAAGTGATTTACTCATACAATTCTCCATAAACCTTTGATCAAGCAAGACAAATTGCATGTTTTTACCAACAGAGATTCCATGACGAGGTTAAGAGATTCTTACAGAAACCGCAGCTTTGAGAGTTTTCCCAAAGAGTCTGGAATAGGACCGGTGAATCTGTTTAAATAGAGATCCAAACTCACTAAGTTTGTTAGGTTCCCTAGATCGCTCGGGATTGGCCCGGTTATGTTATTACTATAAAGCTCCCTGTCATAAACCGAAACATGATATTAAAACATACACAAAGAAGAAAGATTCAATCTTTAGAACATATATAACGAAATAAACAACAGGAAATGCCTAGCAATTAATTTCTAACCAAAAAAACACACCAAAGATTGAATCCATCATGTGTCCAATATTCATCCATTTCCACCATCATTTCTCTTTGGAATAAACTTACAAGTACTGCAGATTCTTGAGCAGGCCAAGCTGGGAGACCAATTGTCCAGATAAAGCTGCGTTGCCAAGATCACTACAAGAAGAGAATAAATTAAGACAAGATCTTAAGATACACTAATCAGTAACATAGATGCAGTAGAGAAATACTCACACTCTTATTACGCTATTGTCGTTATTGCATGTTACATGAAACCAAGTGCATGGATTGACGAGGGTAGGATCCCAACTTTGCAAGACGTTGCTCGGGTCAATCAAATTAGCTCTGAGACTGTGTAATGCATCTCCTGTTGACAACATATGTACAAGAGCTTGCCTTTCAGGAAGATGTTAAACCATCCATATATAGTTTTAATCTCCGACATTGCGAGTAAAAATCCAACTCTAAGACAAAAAGCCAGATGACTTTTGGCGGTGACGGGTATTGTTGTCACTTTCTATATCCGGTTTACGTGTAAACGGCAAAATGGTTACAGGTTACACAATCCATTTGGACGAAATGCTTCATATCATCCAAAATCCAGCTTTTGGTATTCACATTTTACGCGTGGGAGATGAATGATCTCCGTTAGTTAAACCAGAAACCAAAAACATTCCAAGTGCTAAACAAGATTTTATCATCCTTTTCCAGTAGTATCCTTTCCATTCTTTCGTCCAAACATTCGCTGATTTTTTATTCCCAATTCCCAAAATCCAGTGGTTTCCTTGCAGATTTTTTGCGGGTCTTGGCCAAAAATAGCATTTTGGGCATAGTATAGGAGCTACATAGAGGATTTCCGAGAATTTTAAGGCCGTTGAACAAAATCAGTAATCTTAAAGAAGACAATAGAACAAAGATCATCAGGGAATCATCATCAAGCTAAAGCTTTCAACTGATCTAGTAGGTAAACGCTATGACTTAAGATACTGCCAAACCAAGACTGGGAAACAGCTACGACCAAAGCGAGAAGAACAAACCCCAAAATCAAAACTTTAACAAAAGAGTATAATGAAAACATATCTTAAACCCTTAAAATAGAACCAGATTATCAAAATTCCTTCACAACAGCGAGAAAGACCTAAGAATCTCTACTTTTTCTGCAGCATGTATGCACCACTGAAAGTGATCGAAAGCCAAAAAAAAGGCGTTAATGGAGAAAGAAAAAGGGGGAAGAACAGTAGCGAACTGACCTTCCACGTTGGAGTAAGCAAGCCACAATGGATTCAGCAGAAGCAGAGAGATCAACCAGACAAGACCGCAAGCTTGGAGATTTTTTAGCTCCATTTTCTGACAGGACCACAGTGCCACCAAAATCAGCCTCAGATCCAAACAAGACTAAGCACCGCCATGACCGTCCAAAGAAAACCCTAGCTCCCAAATCGCGCCATGAACTCTTCAAAATCCCATCTTTCAATCGGAGAAATTACACCTGATCTCTCTCATTAATGACAAACCCAGAAAAATGCCAAGGAAACCCAACAGTAACAGCCACAATGCACGTAAAAAAGGGGTGAGATTTTTGGGGTTTATATCAGATCCAAACTAGAAAATTTATTAAGAAAAAAAAGGATTCAGCTGAAAACCCCTTAATCTTTTCGTGCCTTTTCAGAGAAAAGGTTTCAACTTTCTGTTTTTATTTTCCTCTCTCTGTTCTATTGGAACAGCCATCTCCCTCTAAAGCCTACTCTTCAGGGATGGCTCTCATTGCCTCTCTCTCTCTTCTCTCTCTCTTTCTCTCTATCAATGAAGCGTGCCACTGGCGAGGATGACAAAATTTTAAATAAATCTCCCTAAATCATTACTTTCTTGAAGAAAAAAAATCAACATTTTAAATAAAAAAATCCAGAAAAAAAGGTTCAAAACTTGCCCAAAAAATAGTTTCAAATTTATGTTTTTTTAATTTTTCTGTGTTTAAATATAAGGTTTGATTTTTGATCGCTTTTAAAGAGAAGGTTTTGCTTTGTAATACTATGTATCATCCACATAGGTTAATAGGAAAATGTGGAACGTTAAACTGCCCGAACGGAGACTGACCGTTGCCCGAACGGGAGGAGCAACGAAGGAAGAGCTTTCGGGCAGGCGATCGTGGAAAGTGACGTGGGCTTCTCCTACTCCTAGACCCCGTTCCGGTCAAAGTGCTCATGGGACCCATTTTCTGCCACGTCGGATTAAAAATACACCAACTGAATGTCTCCACGTACTTTCGTACCCTCGTACCTTTCGGGATCGTGCATATACGGTCTGCATCAGACACTTTTTTTTTTTAATAGAAAACGTGGTATGATTAAGAACAATTAGTATATAGTAATCTGAACTTATTATATACTTATTATATGAACTTCTAAATCAGCTATTGACTCTTATAGATAACTTGAAGCTGTCAATACAAACACTAAAATAATAATGAAAATTTTCACCCAATATTGGTTAGAAGTGACAAAATCATCTTCAAAATTCTGGATTCGATTTCACTATTGGAAAGAGATATAATTAAATTTTCGTACAGATTTAAACAAAATATAAGTGAATTTTCTTGATATCTCAAATCCAAGAAAAGCATGTGTTTTTTGTTTTAGTTGTCGACAAGTTGCCGACATTCGATGAGAAAATCTTAATCCGAAACTTCTAAATTTAAAATGATGGTATTACTATTAGAAATAACTTAAAATTGTTGTAAGAGTTAATCCAAAACCAAAATGAGTGAAAACGAAAAAATTTGTACAGTTGTCTCTAAATAAATTTAGAATTAAGGTCATGTTACATGTATTAAAAAAATTGAAAAAGAAAACACTTTTATTTACATATTAATCTCAAATACTTTCAATGTATACCAAATGCATACAATTGTTTTCCCAACAGATAAATATACTATTATATATTTTTATGTTATGAATATATTGAGTTTATATATATAATCAATATACAGAAGAACGAGTTGGATGTTCAGCTTTTATGTTTTAACTCAATATTATTTATTTATTCTAAGAGTAACGTGACGTTTTCCCCATAATGTTATTGACACTTAGTACTGAGTCCAAGACAATTCCGACACTCACGGGGCTGAGACACACTCACGGATGGAGACACAAGTCAAGACGAGAAAGAACTCATGTCACAAGCTCTTCTCTTCAACGGCCCGAGAGATCGATCGGTTCAAAGTTCTTCCCGATCGATTCTTTAACTGCATCAATCACCAGCTGTGTCTTCCGGCTGATGCTCGGCCAAAACCCGTCTGGTTTCGCTCCTCTGTTCTTGATTTCCCCGACCAGACGGGCAAACTCTCTCACCATACACGCTTCCTGTGGGAGCTCAGTCATGATCTTGTGCTCGCTCGGCTTATTAACCCAACCGGTCACTCCTTCATTGAACCAAGCCTTTGTGCTCGTGCTGAACGAGGCCTCGGTCTCTTGGAACGGGATGATGAAATCGTGAACGTGGAGAGTGCCTTTGGTTCCTACCGCGGTTATGTCCATTGTCAGGTTAGCCAAGAAGGAGCAGGAAATCGTGGCAGTTCGCCCGTCTTCCCAGTGGAGGAATGCACTGCAAGAGAGGATCACTCCTGCTTCATTCAGGATGGGTCCAGGCAAGGCAGTGACGGATTTGGGAAGCTCGTAGTTGTTGGCCAAAAGGGTAGCCCTGATCGTGTACCAGCCTGCATCCCCGAGGGCTCCGAGCCCATCGAGACCTGGCTTCACCCGGATGTCGTTCTTGAGGAAATCTTCGTCCCCGGCAAATGAGAAACAGCTGTGAACCTGCAGAGAGAGTCCAAGAGAAATATCCTCTGTGAGTGCAATGGAGTGGATACATTCGTTCTTAAAAGCAAACGTTCTCAACCTATCAAGCATTCGGACACGATTCCAGAAAGCAAAGTTAGATACGAGGAAATGGGAAAAAATGTCATTTGCCCCAAGCCGATTCCGGAAAAGCGGAAGCTCGTTTTCGACGGACAATGTTAACTTGACAAACTCAACGATTCTGGGAAGAACACACGCATCGTATGAAGAACGACTCACAAGCCAGAGAATGGATAACCTGAATAATTCCTACGAAGTATGCGGATATGGACGAACCTGGATTGGTGAGATAAACCCAGAATCCGACGTAAATCTCAACAGCATAATGTCTCCAGAGTCACATTCATGATTAATTCGATTTTACGAAACAAAACGATAAACCCTAATAGACTTCGAATTCGGTGTCAGGGCCTTACGGTTTTGAGCTGTCCGAAAAGCTCGGGATCCGAGAGGTATTCCTTCATCTTCTGGGTCCTAGGGTTATGCACCCACATCGTCCCGTCCATAATCTGAATGCCATTGGATTCGCAGGCCGCGATGATCTTGTCGAACTCCGCGACGTTCATGGCGACGGGTTTCTCGAGCAGGAGGTGTTTGCCCTTCTCGGCGGCGCGTACAGCCCATTCGACGTGGAGGCTTGTTGGAAGCGGCACGTAGAGGGCGTCGACATCGGGGTCGTTGAGGAGAGACTCAATGTTAACTTGACAAACTCAACGATTCTGGGAAGAACACACGCATCGTATGAAGAACGACTCACAAGCCAGAGAATGGATAACCTGAATAATTCCTACGAAGTATGCGGATATGGACGAACCTGGATTGGTGAGATAAACCCAGAATCCGACGTAAATCTCAACAGCATAATGTCTCCAGAGTCACATTCATGATTAATTCGATTTTACGAAACAAAACGATAAACCCTAATAGACTTCGAATTCGGTGTCAGGGCCTTACGGTTTTGAGCTGTCCGAAAAGCTCGGGATCCGAGAGGTATTCCTTCATCTTCTGGGTCCTAGGGTTATGCACCCACATCGTCCCGTCCATAATCTGAATGCCATTGGATTCGCAGGCCGCGATGATCTTGTCGAACTCCGCGACGTTCATGGCGACGGGTTTCTCGAGCAGGAGGTGTTTGCCCTTCTCGGCGGCGCGTACAGCCCATTCGACGTGGAGGCTTGTTGGAAGCGGCACGTAGAGGGCGTCGACATCGGGGTCGTTGAGGAGAGACTCGTAGGAGCCATGGATCTTCGCCGTCGGAGGGTAACCGTTCGCGGCGGCGAATGCCTTGGCCTTCTCGGCGGAGCGGCTGGCGACGGCGGAAACGGTGGCGTTGGGAGCGAGATGGATGGCGCGAGAGACTTTCCGAGCGATCTCGGCACAGCCCAGAACTCCGATTCGGATGGGGGATTCAGCGGCCATTGATTAAAGCCTTTTCCGGCGAGCGAGAGAGGGAACTGTGTGATGGTGGTGTGTGGAAGGATCAAGTAACGGATATGAATTGCTAAATAGGACATGATCCAAAGAAAAACGTCTCCTTTTTTTTACCAAAAAAGAAGGTTTTTTTTTTTAATCTAAAATAAGAACGCCAACCTTGTAATTTTATTTATTCAAATTTAATTATACACTAATTGCCTCCTAAATCCACGAAAGAGACAAGTGAGTTTATTTTGCATTCATCCATTCAGGAAACATGACACGTGTCAGAATCCCAAATGTGACTGATTGTAAGATAAAGGAGATACACTTCTCCAGCTACTACTTGCTCCTCAACAACACTGTTAGATCTTTGACGGCTATGGTGGAACGCAGACTCATGGTCCATGATCAATCTCCTTTGCCAAGAAAAAAAACACATATTTCATTACTTCTACGTAGCAACACACAAAACATCTTTTACTGCCGAACTCTCCAAGTTCATGATCCTGCGACACTCTGGTGGGCCCTAGCGACCAACAAAAAAGGGAACCACACTTGCATCTCCACCAACAGAGGTCGGTCCGAGCCATGCAATTCATGCCCATGGGAACTGAACTGACTAAACAAACATGTACACGCACACTGTGTAGGCTTCATAAGCCAAACCAGCGGAAGGAAATTACTTACCCTGTGATCAAATAGTCTCTTTGATTCCATTGATCCGAATCCCCACACCCATCTACAAGACATGCTCTCTCTGTCTCTGCTTCTCTTCACTTATGATTATATGGTCACCAAGAAAGATGGCAATATGTGCAGATAATCATTAGAGAAAGAAACAAAAAAATACAATCTTTTTTCTTCCTTCCTTATTTCTAGTTATTCAAACTCTGTACACATTAAAGATTCACGGCCAAACCCTGAAACACTAGTGAGTTCCATTTTTTCCTCTTAAACTTACCAAAGATTAGAGTTTTTGATTCTACAAAATCTCCACCAGTTAGATAATCCAATACGCTTCTATGATAGGACGGATCTCTCAGAGACTCTAACTGTCGCTATGAACACCCAGAAGATGGCACATAAAGCACCAAGGATTGATAAGAGAAGGAAACCTCTATTTGAGCTAGGCTTCTTTGCTATGGCAGTGTTGTTGCTAGCCACAGAGGTTCCATTTGCTTTTGAAGTGAACCTGATGCGGCTGAAGCTAGACATACGCACAAAGGTCCGGTTCAGAGGACCCTCACACGCAGAAGCTGGTGGGGAGGGAATGGATTCCACTAATGTCCATAAAGAGTTAGAGAACTGGCTCGTAGCACCAGGGCCATTTTTGCCTCCCGGGTCTTGGGTAGCCGGGGCCATAGGAGGATTTGTGGGCCCATGTATCACACCTATGCAAATGAGAAATGCTGAAAATTATCAGCCATAAGGACTAGAGCTTAAGAATTAAGATTCAAACAGGGAGTTGATAAGTGTGGAAGGTATACAAGCAAAGGGAAAATTAGCAGAATATCATATCAGTGGCTCGGTTTCAATCAATGCCACATGCAGATTGGGGTATCCAAATGGAGCCGGAAATTCACTGGTGAGAGTGCACTGGAACATGTGTATGAGACGACTGAGTACCTGATGATGGTGAAGCACGTCCTTCAGAATAATATTGTGATCCATCAACGAGATGAGCCATCTCTTCTTGTAGCCACAGATCGCCAGTGAACTGATCTGGAGCAACTGCACTTGGATCTGTGAGGTTGTTCAACTGGCTCTCTACAGTCTGCTCCTGGAACTGATCATATGGGTACTGCTGCTCTGGGTCTGCTGCGTTGTTAACAAAATCATTTATAGAAGACAGACTAACAGTTGTTCCCTGAGAGACAGGATCCATATCAAAAGACATGGCGACATCATGGAACAACAGGTCAAACTCATTCAGGCCACTGAACTCATCAGTGTTCAAGGGTGACAGGGGTTTCTCAACTGCAGAAGCATCCAGATCAGGGATCAGAAGATCATCCATTTGTAGGTAATTTTCCTCCTCAAACATTAAAGGCACTGCTTCCATGGTCTTGGGAGTAGTCGATGTGACTTCAGTAGCCACGAATGATTTTGCCGACATAAGAGAGTCAAAAGTCAAGTGCTTGTCATTAGGCTGACTGTTTGGCATGAACTCTCCGGTTTGCTTGGGAATGAGAATCTCGCCAGAAGAGGTATTCAGTAATGTGCTCTGAATCTCTTCTTCGCTGTTTATCTGTGAAGATAAATTATACATATAGAGAAGGATACAAATGTTAGGCCAATACTGAAAATATAGGTTTAAAAAAACAGTGCACTCTTTGGTTACAAAATATAGTCTGTATCATTTAATGAGAGAAGAAACTAACCTGAGGAAAAGCATAAGGAAGGTTGTTGATTTGCCTTGGAGGAGCTTCAGGTGCATCTGCAATTCCCTTGAGGAGTTCCTCGATATCATCATGAGTAAGTACACCATCGTCCACATGAGCAGCACTTTCAGCCTGTACAGCAAGAGGCATTGGCTCAGCAGCATTATTTGTGTCTTCCTTATCATCATCAACCCATTCTTCTTCTTGGAATGGAGCACCATATTGTTCACCATTTTTAGGACCAGCTCCACTTTTCTTGTACAGTTTGTAAAGAGCATAATAATCCTGAAGAGGAAAAAAAGCCGAACCAATTAAGGGCAATGCATGACACGAAAGACAGACACATTAAGCATTAGCAGAGAATATCCTAATACCTTTGCATTTTGACATTTTCCAAATTCCTCTTCATCCATTGTGTACTCATGCATCACCCAGTCAGTTCGTTCACCATTAGGTGCCCGGCCTCTGTAGAAAACAAGAGTCTTCTTGATTCCCACTGCTCGGGCATTATACACGATGGTTCGATCCTTTCCTGTAGCTTTCCAATACCCATTTGCAGCGCCTCTACTTGACCTACCTCCATTGGGATACTTCCTACTCCTTGGAGTGAAAAAGAACCACTGCCGGTCTCCTGACTTCAACAGTGACTGGCCTGCTCAAAATTAACAGATGTGGGTTAGTGAACTAAAGTCGACATAACTCGATACAAAGATTAAAAAAAAAACTATCTTGTGACGGAAAAATTATGTGCCCGTTAAGGCTAAGAAGATAAAAGCTCGAAAACCAGGAAAATATGCAAACTGAAATCAATTTAATATAGACGAGAACAAAGTTCTCATCAAATAATCCCAAAATACAAAAACAAAATCCTCAAAAATAGACAAAGATGGCTGTTAGATTCAATAACCATCCTTTTTTCACAGTAAATCGAGAGATCATCAACGTTACAAAGTAATTGAACGGGTAGCAGGACAGAACCATGATCAAGTAGAGAAAAGCAAGAAAAAACCCTAATCAACAGAGGCGAGAGCAGATAAGAAGTCGCGTAAAGCAGACAGTGAAATTACCGGGCAATTCCTCGGGATCCCATTTGTACACATCAACCACACCGATTACATTGACTCTGAGCCTTCTCCTACAGATCTTCCTCTTCAGATAATAGACCACTAGCTCCTCATCAGTTGGGTGAAATCGAAACCCTGGCGCGCAAAATCTACCTCCTTTGAAACACGAATCGGGCGATGAATCCGCCATCCTCGTCCCACACCAATTCCGATCCCTCACGTCAAAAGAATCCGTAGAACAAATGTTACAAATCAATCGGGTCAACGAGGAACCAAACCCAGAACACCTGAACAGCTTCTTCTCTTCGTCTTTTGAACCCAAAAGAGAAGAAGAAGCGTCACTACATGATACGATCGATCCCTAGGGTTTTGATCGACCGGAGAAAGAAAATAGAGAGAGAAGGGAAGAAAGATGTGAGGAACCAAAAAGGAAAAAATCAGGAGATATGAGAGATTTGTTTCGTTGGCTCTCCAGGAAATTTCCGCGAAAACTGCATTGTTGACTTGACCGTACGGAACCAAACCCTGACGGGCTCTGGGTCTTACCAGCCCATAATGATTGGGGCCCAAAATCAAGTGCTAGGCTTTTAAGGTGGAAAGGCGCGTTGCCGCGTTCATTATTTTTTACAATTAAAAAAGTATTATGTTAAAAATGTTATTTGATGATTTATTAATGTCTTTTTTACCTGATATTTTTCTTATTTTGAATTGATTACTGAAACTGTCATAATATCTTACCATTGTTGGGCAATGGATATTGGATAATGGATCGAGCACATTCGAAAAACAAGTTTCAAATGGTAAATGATAAACTGTAAAAATACAAGTTCAAAGTAAAATATAAAAGTTTTAACACATAATAATAATAAAAAAAACTTCGATTACATTTGATTTATTAATGCATTTGGTTCCCTGCATCCATTTGTATAATTATATTATAATATCATGCCATAGATTCGACCGTTTGTTGTGGAATTTACTTTTGCTTTCTGAGCCCCGGTCGTCAGTTCGAAACCAACTCATGGAGAGGAAGGGGGTATTTTCGATTGGGAGGGTGTTGTTCTTTGAACCCCTGTCACCAGACCTCTAAAAGCTGCTCCCGGGCCTAGGTCGAAGGTCCAGGTGAATCTCCTGGTTAACGAAAAAAAAAATATAAAAAAAATATTAATATTTCAGACGACAAGCAAACAAAAACAAAAACCCTTGGTTGTTCGATTTTATTTTTAGTGTTATTATATTTATCGTATGATATTTGGATATTACAGTTGTTTCATAATTTATATTATCTCTCACCAAAGTACTATAAATTATGTGAATAATTATTATTTAATAGTATATATATTGGCTCAAATTCTGAAGGTCTTCACATAGTAATAATGCTTATTTAAATATTAAATTATTATATATTATTTTTCGAATAATTATTTGAAACTAATGATATTTTAATTTTGAATGTATTATCTATTACAATACTGCATTTTAAATTATTCAGTATTAACTGAATTTTTAGATTCTTATAATTCTCTATGTTATATACTTTTTTATATTTTTATTGAAATTTTAAATATACTTAAAAACTCGTGATGAAATACAAATGTTTGGAATATATTTTTATTTCTAATATATAAATATATAATTAAAACTTTAATTCATTGGATCGGTGCGTGTTGACTTTAGAGGTGGATAATCAAATTGAATTAGGTAATTGTCATGTTTACTTTTTTTGGTAGTTTTATTTAAAGTTAGACATCTCCCATTCGACAACATGAATGATTGAATAATCTTCTAATATACCATATAACAATTAACAATCAACATATTTTTATATCCAAAGTATCAATAAAAATTAATTTTGAATCAATTTCTTATACCACTAGAACATAAATTAGTAGCATATAGATCTTATTATATTTTACAAAGTCATGATAACATTTTACCATGCCATGATTCAAAACGCGTGTTTCGAACCGGAGGCGGAGACTGTGAAGCGGTTTTATGCACCTTAAACGGATCGTGTTTGATCTTGACCGTACACGTGTCAGATATCCGGAGGGGAATGAGGAAACCGGGAGGCTATCCCTTAGACTGGTGGTAATTGGAGCTTTTTTTTAATGCTTTGGTTAAAAAACAAAAATATCTCATTTTCTCGGCGTCCAAACAGCCACTCCTCCCGGAAAAATTTGAAATCGAAGAGAGAGAGAGAGAGACTTTTAGATTTTGTTGAAAGCCCAACTGTAACCGAGCTTTACTTTCCCGTTTCAATTGATTAGAATTCGAACTCGGAAATGTACGGAAGATTTCAGATCTGAACTGTCGTCATTGGGGAATTCTTCCTTTCTCTGAAGATTCTCGCGCGGCCATGATCGATCTTGATCTCTGTGAGTTTATTATTCTGCACATCTCGTCCTTCTGACGTCAATCCTCTTCCCCATTTTTAGTATGTTGTTTTTCCATTCTATCTACTGTCCCGAGAAAGCTGTACACTACGAAATTTCCACATACTCTGATAGTCGGAGTTACCCGATGCAGATACGAACTGACTAGATTAAGCTCAACCATTCTCTCTCTCTCTCTCTCTCTTACACAATGAAAAGGGAATCGATCGAATGTTTTGAAATTCTGCATGTTGCTCAATCTTTTCATCTAAATTGGATACTTCATGTCGCTTGAAATTGATTGCATTTGCGTTTTGCCCATTACTTTGGCAATGTGTTAGGGATTGCGGAGATTTCGGATCGATTCTAGGCTTTACTGTCTGGATATAGCCAGATTTCTTCTCAAGACTGGATTTTGAGGATCTTTGGCTTCTGGGTTTTGCTCAATTTTCGACAATGGTGTTTTGGGAAGGATATGTTAGCGATGAAACTATGGGGACATTTGCCCCTATTATAGTATACTGGTTATATGGCGGGTTTTATCAGTTATTACAACCTCTGGATAAGTACAGACTGCATACGAAGAAGGAAGAGGAGGAGAAGAATTTGGTGCCTCTCCCTTCTGTGGTCAAGGGTGTTTTGCTTCAACAGCTCGTTCAAGCTACTGTTGCCCAATGCCTCTTCCTGGTTTGTTTTAAGAATTCCTTCAGCTTATACGCATTCTGTTGTTTTCTTTTCCTGAGTAAAGAATTTTCCACTCTGTGTTTCCATGATCTTGAAAGACGCTAAAAATTTTGCAACATGCCCATGGCTTGAAGAGAAAATTCAGAGACTGGTACTTGCCTTGTTCTTAGCTTATTTTCTTGGAAATTGCAGTGGGTTAAGTAGAAAGCTCCAACCTGTTACCTTGTTTTGTTATTTTAGCTCAAGATCTTTATTAAGTGCTTAAAATTCAGTAATGCACTAATGCTTAAAGAAGATTCTTAGACTGTTTGTTTCCCCTCTGTAGCTCATGATGTTGGTAATTCCATAACCCATTCAAGCAGAACACTAAAGCATTGTTAGTTGTTTTAACTTGTGGGCTCGTGTCTTTGCAAATTGCTTAAAATTCGATAGTGTCTGGGGGTTTATACTTTTACTGGAGTTCAATCCTACATTGGCTTTAGTTCTACAGATACTGTCTGATATGGTTGATTCACTTCATTGTAGGACTTTTTAAGGCTTGCGATATATTTTCTGGGAGTGTCACTGAAACAATGTGGTTGTCTATGTTTTCCTACAGCTCACATCGGCCCAAACATCAGGGAAGATAAAACAGCCATCTGTTATTGTTCAAATCTTGCAGATAATCATAGCAATGTTTGTCATGGATACGTGGCAGTACTTTGTCCATCGGTACATGCACCAGAACAAGTTTCTCTACCGCCATGTCCATTCCCAGCATCATAGGCTAGTCGTTCCTTATGCAATCGGTGCCCTTTACAACCATCCCCTCGAAGGTCTCCTTCTGGACACATTTGGTGGAGCAATTTCATTCCTCATCTCGGGAATGACAGCGAGAACAGCTGTCATCTTCTTCTGCTTTGCGGTGATAAAAACGGTTGATGATCATTGTGGACTCTGGTTGCCGGGCAACGTCTTTCACCTCTTCTTTCAGAACAACAGTGCCTACCATGACATCCACCACCAGCTTCAGGGCACCAAGTATAACTATTCTCAGCCCTTCTTCTCGATATGGGACCGGGTTCTTGGAACCCACATGCCGTATGATCTGGTGAAGCGGGCCGATGGAGGGTTCGAGGCCAGGTTGAAGAAAGACTAGCCAAAGTTGCTTAAAAGCCTAGTTACTACTTCCACTCTTGCTTCCCCGCTGGAAAACTCTGATAGAGATGGTTCGACCCAGAAGTGTGCTGGTGTTTCATCTGGCTCTTCGTCTTGAGCTCCAGATGATTAGTTTGTTCACTGTTAGGGCTTATTATGATGGATTTCTTTGTGGCAACCTCACCATTTAGTGTGCAGTATTTTGCTTCAAGTGTTGGTTGAGTTATGTCCGAGACCAGTTTCTGTCTTTGTTCGAGTTTGTGTACTGTAAGAATACGAATTTGTTTTGTAATACCGACCGTTCGAGAGGAGCTGTTTCTACGATTCGGCTACACATTTCGGGTTTAATTTCATCGAAAAATTGAAAGGATACATCTATTGAGTTGCAGTACATGTACATGGAACTGATCACATGTTTTGTTATAACCTTAAATGGTATATTTAAAAAAAAAATTGAAAGGATAAATCTATTGAGTTGCTTTGAAAGTTAATGGGCTCAATAATCGGCCCATCAAGAAATACATTTGATCCCAACCTGTCTGCTACCTCCGGCGAGAGATTTTCTCCTCCCCCATTTTCCATAGAAAATAAAATTACAGATTTTCATGGAAAATCAGTAGCTTAGTTTGTTCTCTCCGACTAGTTGACTGTGAACAACGACAACAGCAAACGAACTGATCGGAGATCGCTGTTCCTTTTTTTATTCTCCGGAAATGGGAGGAAAACCAGAGCCGGTGAACGGAAGCGCCAAATCGGCGGCCGTGGCGGCGAAGTCGAGCCCAGATCTGTTGAGCAGCTTCTCTCTCAAATCCCTAAAATTGAAGACGAAGCAGCAAGAGCTCCTGATCCGTGTCTCCATCCTCTGTCTCGTCTATGTCTTGGCCTTCATCACTCGCCTATTTAGTGTTCTTCGCTACGAGTCCATGATCCACGAGTTCGATCCCTATTTCAACTACCGCACGACCCTTTTCCTCACCGAGAAAGGTTTCTACGAGTTCTGGAACTGGTTCGACTCGGAGAGTTGGTATCCACTCGGTCGGATTATCGGCGGTACGCTTTATCCAGGTCTCATGGTCACCGCCGCTCTGATTTACTGGACTCTGCGGTTTCTACGCTTCTTCGTGCACATCCGTGAGGTTTGCGTTCTGACGGCTCCGTTTTTCGCGTCCAACACTACCGTCGTCGCGTATTTCTTCGGAAAAGAGATCTGGGATTCAGGAGCTGGGCTTGTCGCAGCTGCTCTGATCGCCATTTGCCCTGGTTACATTTCGCGCTCCGTCGCCGGTTCTTACGATAACGAGGGTGTCGCCATTTTCGCTCTGTTGTTCACTTTTTACCTGTTTGTGAAGGCGGTGAACACTGGGTCACTGGCCTGGTCTCTTGCCTCCGCCTTTGGCTACTTCTACATGGTTTCGGCTTGGGGAGGCTATGTCTTCATCATTAATCTTATTCCACTTTACGTGTTGGTGCTGTTGATCACTGGAAGATATTCCATGAGGCTGTACATTGCTTATAATTCTATGTATATCTTGGGAATGCTGCTCGCTATGCAGATTCGCTTCGTTGGTTTTCAACATGTTCAATCTGGGGAGCATATGGCCGCCATGGGCGTCTTCTTCTTGATGCAGGTTCGCTCGTGGAACCATCTTCTTCCTTCTTGGATTCGCTTTTGTGGGTCTAATTTATCTAGTTGAATTTTTGTGATCCTTGAGATATGGTTTGGAATAGGCTGGGATCTATTAGCAAGCGGTGGATTTATCTTTTGTTGCTTTATTGCTTTCCCAACACTTATTTGGAGAATTAAAATTCGCAGTTTCGAGTTTCAGCTAGTTTGCCTATTTCCTAGTTCCGCAAATTCTGCGATTGTAGAATGATTTTCTGCCATGGCGACATAATATGTTTTCTGCTTAACCTCTGACTTTGTCGAGAGTAATGCAGCTTTCTTTGCCATATTCGCCTGGAAATTACTGTTTAACATCACATGCCTTTATCGCTAAAGAATTTGATCTACTGATACAGGTGTTTTACTTCCTCGACTGGGTGAAGTACCTCCTCAATGATCCCAAGAAGTTCCAAAACTTTTTGAGCATAACTGTGACGTCGGCTGTCCTGGTCGGTATTATTGCTCTGGGTGTAGGAACAGCGTCTGGCTACATTTCACCATGGACTGGCCGGTTTTACTCATTGCTTGACCCGACATATGCAAAGGATAACATACCCATCATTGCATCTGTCTCTGAGCATCAGCCTACAGCCTGGTCTTCTTTCATGTTTGATTACCACATTTTGCTATTCCTTTTCCCGGCGGGTCTTTACTTCTGTTTCAAGTGCTTGTCAGATGCCACTATATTTATCGTCATGTACGGTCTCACTAGCTTGTACTTTGCTGGTGTTATGGTCCGGCTCATTCTTGTTGCCACCCCAGCGGTTTGTCTTATCAGTGCCATAGCTGTCTCAGCCACTGTCAAGAATTTGACTTCACTACTAAGGACAAAGCAGAAGGTTGCTCAGGCTGGATCCACCAAAGGAGCAGGTAGCTCAAAGGCTTCTTCAAAGGTGAGATCTTTAAATTCTCTGGTCTGCTGCTTTTAAGCGAGTCACTTCACTTCTATTTTGAACTTTTAACATTTGGCTATGGCCTAGCAGGTTTCACTTGATCAGTCGCAACCTTTCCAGAAGAATGGTGCTATTGCACTTCTTCTTGGCGTATTTTACTTGCTTAGTAGATATGTTATTCACTGCACATGGGTAACATCAGAAGCCTATTCGTCTCCCTCCATCGTCCTAGCTGCCAGAGGTGCTCATGGGAACAGAGTTATCTTTGACGATTATCGTGAGGCTTACTACTGGCTCAGGCAAAACACTCCCCAGGATGCTAAGATCATGTCCTGGTGGGACTATGGGTACCAAATCACTGCCATGGGAAATAGAACTGTTATAGTTGATAACAACACATGGAACAACACTCACATTGCCACTGTTGGACGAGCCATGTCGTCTTATGAAGACGAGGCTTATGGAATCATGAGGTCACTTGATGTGGACTATGTATTAGTTGTCTTTGGCGGGGTCACTGGTTATTCTTCAGATGACATCAACAAGTAAGTCCTTTTACCTTCTGCACGTGTTTACTGTTGAACATCTTGTTATGACTTCATATCCACCAAATGCGTTATTGATTGATGGCATATAAATGCATTGCATACCTATTACCTACTGATGAACATCTGATTGAATGGAACTGGAAGATACTGCAATCATGGTGTTTCAGTTTTTGGGTGAGCTGTAGGACAGAAACTCTAGATACTGTTGATGCTGTCACATTTACCGATATCATTTTATTTTTGGGTTAGATTCTTATGGATGGTGAGAATTGGAGGCGGGGTATTCCCTGTGATCAAGGAACCCGATTATCTCGTGAATGGAGAGTATCGTGTTGACAAAGGAGCAGCGCCAAAGATGCTGAACTGCCTCATGTAAGTTCAGCTTTATGGCTCCACTCTTTTTATGCTTCTTTTCTCAGATTGGACTGAAACCCAGAATCTCGGGAGATGAATAGATAGATGAGATCAGTGTGGGTTCATCTTAAATATGCCTTTTTTTTTGTAGGTACAAGTTATGCTACTACAGGTTTGGTGAGCTGGTTACAGAATACGGCAAGCCCCCCGGGTATGATACATCTCCTCCATCATCCTAATGTATCTGATAACCCATCTGCAATCAAGGCAAATGCGAATAGATTACCAATCGGAACTCATTTCTCTTCTTTTAGCAATGCAAATGTCTAAAACCCGAAAGATTTATTGCTTTTGACCTCTGAGTACCTGCGTTTAGGAGCATGCATGTGAGATCATATGATCATGCTATTCCCGAGCCCTTATGGGTCTTCTCCTTACCCGATATAGAGAAGAACAAAACTCGAGTTGAGATAAATCTGAACAAAGTAAGGATTTGATGGACGGGGGGAAATGCTGTTGTTGCAGGTACGATAGGGCAAGAGGGGTGGAGATAGGGAACAAAGACATAAAACTGGAACACTTGGAAGAGGCGTTCACGACGTCCAACTGGATTGTCCGAATCTACAGGGTCAAGCCCCCGAAGAACAGGTTCTGATTTTGATCATTAGATATCATAATAGCTTCGGTCTTTTTATGCGTTGTTTAGAGTTGCAGTCCCCTTCTGGACTGTCTTAGGGATATGATCAAAAGATTTTCCGATTTTAAGACTCGTTTATGTTTATGCTTCAACGTTAGATTACCCAAACATCACTTGGTTTATTGAATGTTAAAAAAAATATCACTAGATTTGTTAAAAATCTACGATATTGTAATTATTTAGGAAAATTACAGAAACAAAAAAGGATAACTTATATATTAATATCGAATTTTCAGAACTCTCAAATGAACGGACGAGTTTGGCAAGTCATCCTGACATGTCCTATGAAAAATAAAAATAAAATGAGTGGTCGGCAATTTGTTTGTTCTCGTTGTTCTCTTCCTCTGGATCACCTGCAAATTTTTTACATCTCCATCCTCGGACTGCGGTTAAAATAGGTTATTTACTGATGATTAAATTTTCTCTTAAGATCCAAAGAACAGAGCCCATACCGTACGCACGCAATGTTTAAAGAGAAAGCGCATTGCACCCAAAAAAAAGGACAAAATAGGAAACACATAAAAATAAAACAACTCTACGACGGCACTCGAAGTTTATAAGACGATTTCATCGCCCAGACAGGCCTTGTCCGTTTCACCGTTCGGAGTTCCGTCCGGTCGCGCGTGGCAGCCGAAACCGACACAGTGGGCAGACATGGTTTATCCTAAGCCACCTCACAATACATTCACTATGAAACTCGTGACGACACGGCAGGGCAGCCGACTTTTTCTCGGCCACGAAATCCTCTAAACAGATCGCACAACCGTCCCCTTCTCCGATCCCCCGTTCCTTGGCCGTCGTCTCCTTCAGAGAATCGATCGCACTTTCGCAAACCGGTCTAACCTGCGGTCTGATCTCGTCGAACGATTCCTGAATCGCAAGTTGGGTCATAGAGTCGGTCTCGTCTTCGTCAGGCTCGCCTCTGAACACCCGAGGGGTACGATGCTCAACGACGATCGTCCGTTGAATATTCCGATACAGTTCGTCTCCGAATCTCCAAGAGTGGCGAACCCTCGTTCTGCCGTGTCTGTTGATTATCCTGACCCGAGAGTCGTCCACGAACCTATCCGTGATAACGTAAACCTCCGTTAACAGCGTCAAAACACCTCGGAGATCTCCCGGTTCGGTGCTAAGGGCCTCCAAAGCCAAACCAGAAAGGCACCCTCGAATGGACTCGGCGCCAACGGTGTCGAGCCCCGATCTATGCAAGAAGCCGAACAGCTCTTCCCTTTTTTCTCCGACAATCTCAGGAGACGAGAGCCGAAACCCTCCGTAAGTATCGCTCTCTACGTGGCCATTCCTGTAACGAACAATCAGCATCTGAAGCCCGATGGCCAAACCACGCGCTTCGGGGTCGATTGCGAGGGTGTATTTTTGGACGGCGTGGAAGCGAGTGAACGCCATTGTTTGGTCTCGATGGAGGAAAACGAACACTGCATCTTTACTTGGGGGTTGAATTTATAGAGTGATGATTACCTGATCGGTTTGGGATTAGAGAAAACCTTTTTACATTGAGATTTAGAAGAGAAAAAAAAACACGGATTTTGTTTCTATCACCAAAAAAAGAAAGTTTCCATTTTTTTTTCCGTAATTTCATGGGAAAACTTTGGCTGTTTGGTTGTCAGGTAATTTTACAGGATTTTTTTTCCGTAATTTCACGGATTTTGTATTTTTATGAAAATGTTATATTTCTTATATTTATTTGATATAATGTGCTATTTTCTTTAAATTTAATAACAATTTAATTGTAATTAATTTCAAAATTATAACAGATAAATTCATTTACATTCCGTTATTTTTTTTGTTGGATCCTTATTGGGCTTGTAGCCCAGTTGGACTCTGGTTAGGCCTTTAATGGGCCTGCTCGGCTCGAAATGTTTTCTTCGTTGTTCTTGTGCCACCCCCCAAACCTATCTTCTTCTTCTTCTTCAATACCAGAGAGCTCCATGAACGTTTCATAAACCTCGCAAATACCCTATCGTCTTCAACTGACAGTAGAACAAAAAACGCGCGAAAGCTATGGTGGGTGTCTCGAGAACGATCCTCTCCCTTTCTCTCTCCTCATCATTCTTCTCCTTCTCCAGAACCCCTCACCTTCTCCCATCTCTCCGTCTCCCCAAACCCTACCCCAGGTTTTCCCCCGCTTTTCGGCCTCTATGCGGCGCTGCAGCACCAGCCCCGGAGGAGGTGAAACTCGAAGAGCCAGACCAATTAAAGCACACGATCCTGCTTGAGAGATTGAGGCTCAGGCATTTGAAGGAATCCGCGAAACCGCAGCAGAGTAAAATCTCATCTACGCGATCTCCGGCGGGTATCTACAATGGAGAAGATGATAGCGAGCAGAGCAACAGTAAGAGGAAGAAGAAGAAGAAGGTGGTTGAGAATTTCGAGGAACTGGGTCTGAGCGAGGAGGTGATGGGTGCTCTGAGAGAGATGAACATTGAGGTTCCGACGGAGATCCAGTGTATTGGAATCCCTGCGGTTCTCGAGCGTAAGAGCGT